TATCTAAAACGTTGACGATTGACGTAAACCGGTTCATTTTTGCGAAGAATTTTTTAGAAACCGAGACATAATAGTGGGGGCATTTGACATGTCACGGTTTCTGTGTCACTGTTTATCAACGGGAGCACGCCAAAAATAGCTTATACTTTGATTTTCTTTTACTATACGGAGAATGGTCGCACTGCGCAGCTTTCTGAGTGCCTTTTAAAAGGAGATAGAAAACTCCGCCATTTTGAACCCTTATTACGTGTTGCCTACATCTTGGCGCAATATTTTTATAGGTGCGTTTTAATCATCCGCTTCTGCTTCGGAATTGTCGGTTTTCTTGTTTTAATCTGACAGGTTAGAACGACTGAACCGACAATTCCGGAAGCAGAAGCGGATGATTAAAACGCACCTGATATTTTGCTTGCTGCTGTCAGTGTCAGTGAATATTATTTTTGGAGTCACAGTTTATTGCTAAAGAATCAGTTAGCTCACTCGGACCAGTTGAAAGTTCCAAAATAACATCAACTCCAGGGATACAAATTCAGGATACGCAGAAGACTGCTGTTTTATTATAGGCGTTTGTCATATATTGTATTATCTGAGTTGCGCAGTGTATAAACTAGAACATTGAGATAAAAAGTGCCGACGCAGAGTGAGCGATCTGATTCTTTAACTATAAACTGTGTCATAGGGTTCAAAATGGCCGCGCCTTATGTTGGGCGTGTCGGACCTCTCTCTTGCCCTATTTATAGTAAAGAAAATCAAAGTATGTGGTTCTAATTAACAGTGCTGTTCCTAAAGTGGCGCTGGGAAACAATAACAAAGCCTACACAGAACACGAGGCGAAATAACCTTAGCAGTTGAAGCCCATGACACACCAAAAAAAATACTATATTAGGCATTCCAATGGCCTGTCAAAAAGCTGCCAGTGGAAACTGACAGTTTAGATATGGCAACCCTGTCGGCCTGGTGTCATTAAGGGTCAATGATACATATATAGTTATATAGATTGCTCAAAGCAGGTCGTTTGCGAGCGGCCATATTGCCTCATTAATTTGAATCGGTTTAGTAAAAATGTGTTTTAGAATCTGTTTCTAGCCTTGGAATGTTTAAAAAAATAATTGGCTATATTTTTACTTCAAGGCATAAGCTTTTGATTATTTTTAAATCACCAGGCCCAGTATTGCCATATCATAACCTATCATGTGCCTGTCATTATCTACGAGTGACCATTTTGTTTGGAATGCCTAAATTGTTCAACAAGCAAGGAATGGTACTCAATGGAATGGTGCTCAATAGAATAGTACTCAATAGAATAGTACTCATGCCCCACGATTATATTTACAAATAGAACAGTGATTAATTTAGAAGATAGCGATTTTCATTGTAGTTGAAACAGAAAAGAGACTGTCTTTATCAGATCTGCTCCCACAATTTACAACTATGCACATTACTGTGTAAGTTGTTTTCTTGCCTCAAATAAAATATTTCTTACCTTTGACGCCTTCGGTACTAGAAATTACTCGGGCGCCAGTATTGTTTCATCAAAATTAAAGGAATTTCTTTATAAGCTTACTACAACATACTTGGTTACAGTATTGTGGTTACTGTGGTGACGACACACATACCGTGGTAACTTATTATTTAATGTCATATATCAAATTCAATTTACGTTTGGGGATTTCTTAATCGAATTTGAATTTTAACAAATTTTAGAATATTTTTATAAGGGGGGTCCAGCAGCGGTGGTGTTTGTTACTTTCAGAAGTTCGACAGAAGAGGGGGGAAGTTCTTAGTTGAGGACGTTTTTTTAGAGAGATTCAAGTAGAGGAGGAGAAATTTTTGCTTGAGGACCTTTTTTTTAAGAGAAATTCAAGTAGAGGAGGAGAAATCGCGGGGCCCAATCTGGAGAATTGTCCTGGGGCCCGGTCAGGCTCTTGGCGGCCCTGCATATGACGTCATCAGAGTAACCAAAATTTACAAAGAAATGCTCTGGTAACATAAATATGTTCTGGTAAGCTTATAGGAAAATGCCTTTATTGTGTTTATGTCCGAGAATAACAACCACAGAGAAGTGACATAACTATCGGTCCTTTGAAGTTCGGAGACGGATGGCCGGTATAAAACATCGAGAAAAAAATTAATGAAGCAAAATAAAAGCTGTACACTAAGAAAAATATTGGAAATATTTCACCTTACTTATCGTGCATAAAATTTATATAATAAAATATCGGTTTTTATTACAATAGTTTCTATCACTTTTAATTTCATTTTTCTAAAAACATGCTGATATACCTTTCCCGTTATTAATGATATCTATTATTCATGCCCAAATCTTACTTCCTGTTGTTAATTAAAAATTTATTGTTATGTTTCCTACTCTGAGTTCCAATTACACATCCGTAAATGTAATTTTTAACCTTAGAATACATATAGTCTATCTCGAATATATTCTAAGTTTTTAACTTTTATTATTTGTAGGGGAGCCAGTGACACTTTTAGGTGTGTTATTGGCGCAAGGCAAAATTACAAATATTTCGTCTTAAAAAAATCTGTGTAGATAATGCCTTTTGTTTCACCAGCTCCCTACTATATAGAAACGATGACAGTTGTTTAAAGAAAAAATGACATGGGGCAATTGTCGTAGCCAACCCAACAGTTGCAAGGAGCAGATAAGCTATCGTTTTCTAAAAAACGTATACGCTTTAGCAACATGCGAGCTATTCGCTATTCTCGACATTCGTTTCAAAAGCGAGCGGAATTTTTCACACGTTTTTGATAAAACGTTTTTAAGGATTTGGCCAATGTCACTTATATGTTACTTTTAGGATGATTAATAATATTGATTGATTTTAACAAATTCTAGGTAAACTACTTTTTATTCATACCTACAAAAGTATCTTATTTCTTATAAATATGATTAGCAGTATTAAAAAATCTAATAGCTGAGAATTTCTTTCAATTATTATTAATTGTACAATTGGAAAACTCGGAAGATAAGAATCCTCAAAGATTTAGACATGCAGAGATAGAATCAATTTTTTTTAATTAAATGGATATTGATTTAATATTTTTTATATCTTACCGTGTAAGAATTTAATTATTAATTCATGTATGTTTTATTTACAGATATTAATTTGCTTGCGGTTTCTTGCAAGTGGTAGTTCAAAGTTCTTTTGTATCTCACGTTGTGTCCAGAAATTTTAACAATTTTGTATAATTACCACAAAATATTAAAGAACTGAATCAGATAAGCAGTTATTTAATTTTGTATCATAAAAACTAGATTTTTTTATGACGTACGATTTTTCTGGAATTATGGGTTGCATTGACTGCATCCGTATAGCTATTTTTCCGCCAAAAATTAACGATTCAGTTTATCCTGTACATTTATATATTATGTAATAGAAAAAATCATCGTTCGATACATTTACAATTGGTTTGTTGTAATTAAAGTACATAATCCTTATTTTTTTATGGCATGCACATTACTTGACTTCAACCATATAGACAGTTTACAGTGATGCCAAACATATTATTTGCTTGTTGAAAACGTACACGTTTTAAAAAGCGAATGCTCATCGGACGCCAGTCAAGAATATAGATTTCAAAAACTACTCGCTTTTCAACCACTCTCTTTCGAAAACGGTTCGTTTTTTAGCGATTGTCGAATGTTTGGAAAATTACAAGATTCAAAAGTCCCGCACTTTTTAACGGATGAGCAATGCAAAATTATCGAATAATAGGAAAGGTCAATTGCGCATGTGCGAAATTAAATTAACTATTATCGCTGAATTTCTTGCAAAGGCAAAATATAGTTTTAAAAAAATCAAATGACTACGGACTTTTATATCTAACGGTGTTTTCGAAATTTCGGTTCATATCTTATTAAAACAAAAAAGTGAAAAAATGACCAAATAATCCAAAATTTTGAAGTATTTTACAAATAATTTGCCTAAAAAACGAAAATACAAATGTTGTTCACAAAGTGTAATTGAAAATGCATCCAGGAGGGAGAAACATTTTACTGTGTGTCTTCTATGCCCAAGGTCCGCTACTTTTCACTACTTATTTGCTAGACATGTCCGTCGAACCAGTACAAAAATTACTTTTCATGAAAAGTTCTATCACTACTATTTTCAAACCAAATGGTTACCTGCAACAGCGTAGATTATGCAGCGAGAGCCGAGCAGCAAATGAGCTTAATGTATTATTGTACATGTTGACCGATTCGATTACGTTGCTCTGACGTATTACGAATATTGGCACACTGCAGTCTACAATAGATGTAGGCGTAATTACACCATATGGCTCGTATACTTTTTTCTTAACCTACACTATATGGGGACAACAAAGCTAAATCATATAAATATTTAATCCATCATAACCTACAGCACATGTTTTAAGGCTACAGATAGTTTTGTATACAAATAATAAATTATTTACTTCTTTATAGACAAAATGTGAATGAAGTAAGCTATTATGTTTGTAAAACTGCAAAATTTGTTCACGTGGTTCAGTGTTTTAGGTATAGAATCAATAAAAAACCGATTAATATTTTAAACATCATGTAAATGACTGCATATGTGAATATATTGATATCCACTCTTGTTGTACAAACTACTATTTTCAATTATTTTGATTACCTAGGTACTATTCAAAAAATATGTTGTCATCCAGTATAGAGAAAGTATAGGATTTTTTACGATAAGTTTAAAAAGATGTCACACATCAAATATTACACCGTTACCACGTTGTACAATTTAAGTTTTCAACCGAAAATAATACTCTAAGGTCACTCTAACCTAAAAACTATAATATTAAATGTAAATTAATTTTTAAAATAAATTGGCAACAGCGAAAATTCATGAGGGCTTGAGAATTTTAGTTTATTCCATTAATTACTGAATATCACTTAATCTAAATGTAGAAAGTAGGAGTTAACGTGAATTAAAACACAAGTATCAAAATGTTAACACTTTATTCAATGTTTTGTTTAACAATACGAATTAACATTTTTATGTTTATAGTGACAAGGTCTCTTATCACAATAGATGGAGACTACACATCTATTATTTATATTCTAAAAAAATAACATAAAAACAATATGATAGTACTTCCATCTGAACGAAGTCAATATCATACCTAAAACGTTGATAAGGACTTTATCACAGTTTGACAAGCGTTACTAATTGTGTCAAAATCTCTTAGACATCGAATTCCACGTGTCGCCCTTTCAGCGGGATATTATTTATTGCAGAATTAAAAAAAATTGTGATGAGTAAGAAAGGTCGACGAATGAAATCAACATAATACAATAAAAGATTATTTTTAAAATAATAAGTTTGTTTTTATAGAACCATACTTCATTCCATGAACTCACACCTCTAAGTCATTACCGAAAGCATCAACAAGATTATTATCATCATCGTCATTCACATAAAGTGAGGGGTGAAGCGACATAACAGATCACCCTCTCCAGGGTCTAGATCTCGGGATATAAGTGGTCTACGGTTTCGATCTAGGTTATAGGCATAACAGTATCCAGATCAAGTAAATCGACATCACATATAATCCACTCTAGGGCCTGGACCAAGAGTAGAAGAGGCTATGATATAGAATTGGAGTCTAGATCTAGCAGAATCAATATCTGATGAAGCGACATCACAAATCATCCTATCTAGGACGGTCTAAGACTAAGGAGTAGCCCTAGGCTATGTAACTAAGATTTAAATTTCTCTATAGGGTCTAGACCAAGAGTAAAAGAGGTCTAGGGTACATAACTGAAGTCTAGATCTAGCAAGATCATCCTTTCTAGAATTTAGATGTAGAGCATAGGCGGTTTAGGACTAGGATTTAGACCTAGGGTATGTAACTAGGGTTTAGATTCAAAGTCTAGACCTAGCAGGATCAAGACCTGATGAAGATACATCACAGGTCATCCTCTCTAGGGTTTAGATGTAGAGCATAGGTCTATAACTAGAATTTAGAGCTATGGTATGTAGCTAGGGTTTAGATTTAGAGTCTAGATCTAGCATGATCTGGATTATGGTGAAGCATCATTACAGATCGCCCTCTCTACAGTATAGATTTGGGGATCTAAACGTAGGATCTAGAGTAGTACAGTCTGAATTCCAATCAATGTATATGAGAAGGCTTTTTAAAATTATCTGTCGTTACGTTGATGATTTGTTTGTCAATGCAATGCAACAGAAAAAGATGAAAATAATCCGTCATCAAACGTGTAAGAGAGGTGTAAACTAAAGGAACGCACTTTACATGTTTGAATGTTTTTCATACAGGAATGAGTACCTTTGACAAAATACGCTAGTTTTTATTTATACCTATATGAATTTATATACAAAAAAATAGTACAGTCAATTTAATCTTGAGAGCAAATTATACCAAAAGAAAATCTACTTTTTAAGACTAGATGTGGTAAGACAAATAAACATTGCCAGGATGTAACAAATCATATTTTTAATTTAAAATCTAATTTTAGTAGAAAAAAAATTGTAAATAAACAAATTTTAGAATACGTGAAAAAAAGTTAAAAAAAATATTTAAAAATCGAAAAATAATAACGGTTATTGACATAGCTAGTGGTCTGCCGCCGCCAATTTTTAAATTTGTGACGTATTTTGTTAGGTGTTTAACATCCCTCATATTTTTGGGTTCAGATATTTAATAAGGTTAAAATAGAATTTTATAAAATTTAAACCATTCAATATTTATAACGTTATTTACATAAATGAAAGTAGTCCAATTACCAATGTAAGCGTAAACATAAACCTAATCTAACAATATACAGTCATAGAAATACATAACATAACCTTCATGGACCTAAGGAAGGCGTTCGATGCGATAGAAAGAAATAATATGGGAAAGTCTATCAGAAAAATGCAAAGAAAAAAGTAAAAACAAGAAGAAACATGCAACATAACGAAAAACTAATAGAGAACAGACCGAATAAGGTAAAAACTATAGAACATAACTGGAAAAATGGGTTAGTGAATTAGAAAAACTGGAAAAATTGAATACTGAATCAGAACAAGCAAATTAGAATAAAGGCAAAGATATAGAAGGAAATATTAACCTTTATACAATATACACATTTTAAAACTGAAAAAGGATAAGGTTATGGCACGATCATGCAAATTAAAAGATATATTTTAGACATTTACACATTTAACAATATAAATTTTATTTTGATAGTTTAGCAATTGATACTGATTCAACAACCTTTTTCTTATTAAAAAATATAAATTATTCCCGTATGAAAAAACAGTGAATAGGAAAACACATATTTTATATATACATACATGAAAAAAAAAAAAAAAATAATAATAATCAAAACAAGTGTCTCGTTTCTTTACATATGTAATTAAAACCGAAGATAAAAAATGGGCTTAGAATTTTTGAAATTCAATAACCAAATAAAACCATATTTTATTATTAACAGAGTAATTGAATTAATTTATTTCCTTTCTCACAGCAACTCATAATGTGAATTTTGTCAGTTCGAAATCGCTAATTTTAGTACATACGTACATTTGCTGCGTTTGTTTATCCACATCGAATGCATCTGAGATCACGTCACTCAAGATACGAAAACGTAGTATTAACAGATGTGTCCGATGCGGATAAACAACCGCTCAAGAGGTAAAAAATGCATCAGATGTGGATATTCAAACACAGCAATTAAATCGCTAAATCAGCAAAACTAGACATCTACAAGACCATCTAGTAGCCTTGTGTGTCACATTCTATGTCTTGTGCAGTATCTCTCAAAATGTCAAATGTCAGAACAAGAATAATGATAATTCACCTCACTATGACTCATAATGTCAATTTGCTCAGTTTAAAATCGCTAGTTTTAATATACTAATATGGAAAGTATAGCATATCAAAATTTGTCAAAATTGGTCGAGGCTGGGTTGATGAAGTTTCCGAAAATCAAAATTTAAATAAAATGCAGGATGTTAGGGTTTTTTATGGATTGGGAGACTGGCAATGAACTAAGTGAAAATTGTGAGGGTTTTTGAGATTTTTGGAAAGGAATTTTAAATATTTACTTTTTGGACAGTTAAATAAAAGAAATAAACCGAAACGTAAAAATATTATTTTTAAGTAAAGACAAGGAGAGCAGTGGGATGAAGTGAGAGGAGCAGCGAAGGAGAAGAGACAGGGAAGCAGAAGAGACAGGGAGACCAGGAGTAATCAGAGGAGCAAATAGAGAGAAAAAGATATGGAGAATAATTAAATTGGCATTGCCATATCAATAGTACATCGGATCGCTAAATTAACAAACCTATAGGCCATCTAGTAGCCTTGTCATATTTTATTTCTGCAGTATCTGTCAAGAAATCAAATGTCATAACAAGAATAATGTCACCATCGAGATAGAATGAAGTAGACAATATAATATTTTGCGATATGACAGATGGATGCACTTCGAGTGATGGAAAAATGTAATTAAAATGCCGACTTAGAGTTGGACTTTGATGTATTTAAAGTCATCGAGATAGAATAAAGTAGAAACGACATAAACACTAATTAGCAATATGACAGGCGGACGCACATCGAGTGATGGAAAGGTGTAATCAAAATGGCGACTAGTTTATACTTTCATTTATTTGAAGTCAATAATTTTATATTTGAAGATTGATGGAATGAAAATGTTTTTATATCATTTAAATGAAGCCGTTTTAGAAAAATTGCATTTACTCTCACCAAAACTGACTAACTCCACTAGCTCGAGTTTGACATATTATTATAAGGTACAAGCCCAGTATAAGTAATAATACAGTAGCGACAGTTCGTTATTTATGAGGGTTCTCTATTTTTCTTCGCATGTCCGTAAATAAGCGACAAATATGTCAAACTGGCATATGTAAATTGTCAAGGGAGTAATGGTAGTTTATTTTTTCGATTATATGATTGGTTGTAATGCACATTTCAATAAATGTTTACTATAATTAGACTTAGTTTTCACCTTTCATTTATTGTATGTTATTTTAATCAAACAGACAAAGGGACAAGATATTTTTAAGTTACTTTTTTCAGTGTAGAAATAAGCGGCAGAAAAGTCAACTGTCAATAAAAATCTGGCCACTCCGACATAAAAGGGGCCGACTCAAGCTGTCGCTACTGTATTATTAATTATACTGGGGTACAAGTGCGGACACTTTTTGTATTGACATATCATCTCCTCTCAATGAATGACACTAATGGAGAATGATGTAAAATCCAAGACTATTGTAATAAGCGTTGGCCACTGATGTTTTCTATATCAACTCAATAACTCAGAAATTGAATTTCCTTAGTTTAAAATTTCTAATTTTAATGTATGTACATCGAATCGTTAAATGAGAAAAACTATAAAGACTACCATGTAGTAGATTTGTATAAAATTTTGACTTATGCAATATCTGTCTAAATTTGTCATAACAAGAATAATGACAGAAAGATATGGAATCCAAAAGGTAATTTGTATGGAAACAAGGAAAAAGAGTTGAATGAATAGAACCAATAGTAGACGATAGTGAGTATAAATTATGTAAGGACGAAATATCCATTCACATTCTGACGGAATGTGTAGCACTCCAAATCCTAAACTTTTTAAGAAGACTGCTATGGAAGGGTATCATCTGCTTAATGATGAATCACACAATTTTTAACAAAGCTATGAAAATCTGCTATATCTAAAGTATCAAATAATGCTTAGCTTTAATCCAGAAGAACCAAGCATTTGACTGTCGCCTTAAAAAGGTCATCCGTGATAGATAAGAGCCAGTTTGACCAGTTTTCATTTTTGGCGCAGTCAGTAGGATAATTCTGGTTTCAGTCTTAACGAATAGATCGATTTACCGATTAGCTGAATATCGAATTTTCAAATTAAAAAAAAAACTGCTGGTGAATAATTGTGAAGGTGGTTTAGAAAGCAGACAAAGACTTAGGACACACATGACCAAAATCTACAACCAGTCATGTTAGATAATATAATAACGATAGTTACTCGTTTACTGTAAATACAATTTATGGCTGAGTTTATATTTGAGGAATTAAAAACTCGTTTATTACAATAAAAAAAATTGATTCGACTTAAATATAAACTGCGATAGAAGGAGCACAATATATATTTTAGGTAGCAGTGTATCTGATGCCCCATAACTACATAACAAGTTATTTTAACCAGAAAGATGCCTTGGAAAAACATGGACGATACAACCACAGCCTCCATATAGCATTGCGATTATTACGTTTTTTTGCCTTTAAACGAAATATTAAGATATAAATGTCTAAAAATTAATGTTTTTGGGACGTTAAGGAAGTTGGGTGAGAAGTTGCTGTAAAGATGAAGATGATGTATAAATAGAAGAGTTAGTTGTCAATATTATGTAATTATTTTTATTTTTTATTTTTCCAATCGCGGTTTTTTTTGACAAATGTATCTAAGGAGACGAGACACACGTTTTGAGATTAAATCAATTGAGGCTCAGGTATATAACAGAACCAAATTGTACTCCTCGTCGAAAATTGTGTAAAAATGTGATTCAAACGAGTCAAAATGTCGCTTTATTACACGTCCATTACTATAAAATTACGGAATTTCAGTATAAAAAGATAATAATTCCCTTAGCCATTAATTAACTGGAAAACTGCACTTTCACCATGATTACAGTTAAAAAAAAATATCAAAGAAATGTTAAAACCGAAGATAAATTACGCTTTGCAATATCATTACTATTTTAAAAGGATAAAAGAAACAGTAACGCATTTTTTTAAATTTTTTTTTGTTTAAACATCTCACAGTTGAAGATGAAAATAATATCAAGGCATGAATCTTTGTGTGTACAAAGTGAATCATTACACACCTCAATATATCAATGATTTGCTGCATTAAAATAACACTGTTACAGTGTAGTTACAAGTGTTCCTGGATTATTGCTTGATAAACAATTTGAAATCGGATTCTTTGATTGATTTCAATTACAAACACGTAAACTATTTCTCAAAATCAACATGGATATATAGGGTGTTTCCTAAATATGCGTCACAAATTTAAGGAGATATATTGCTTGGTTAAAAATAAAAGATAGTACAAACCAAACTACAGGGTAAAATTTTTAAAACAATCTTTTTTTTATTATTTATAAAAAAAATTGGTAGTGGTAGTCATTTTGAAAAACTCTTGTAAATTACGAAGTTTTACCTCCATTATTTTAATTTTTTAGTTGTATTTATTTTTTAGTAGCTTCAGAGACATGCAAAAGTTGGGATCTTCGTTTTTTTTTTTTTTTTTTTTTCGAAAATGAGGCGTTGTAGGAAAAAATCAAGGGACAAAAAATTGAAAAAATCTACTATTCGTTATAATTTTTGTGCAAAATTCAGAACCACCTGTCCCATAGGCACGTCTCTCGAATTTCTGGATCCGCTCCTAATACGGCTAAAAGACACCCAATAAAATTGATAGGAAACTGTAAAAACTTTAACGAAATCAGCTTAAACATTTTTTAGATATAATAATTTTTTTAAACTTTAATACCCTACATTTCGAAAATGCAGCGATTCGGGACATATCTTTTTCTTATTCTGACCCAAGAAATATCCCCTTAAATTTGTTCACTATGTTTCGAAAATACCCTCCCTGTATAAACGCAAAAATTATATTCAACATGGCAAAATTTCTAACTTTATTGGACAAGTAGCAAAATAAAGGATTAATTTGGTTGAAAAATGTTAATTTTAGAAAAAAAAGGTGTTAATTTGGACAACAGGGAATAGTTTTGAACAAAAAGGAAGTACAAGGTCGATTTTTTTTTTTTTTTTTTTTTTTTTAGATGCGCCTTTGTTTATATTATTATACGTATATTTTTTTATGACGTCATCACTATTCGAAAAATGACGTCATCACCAGTTTTCTTTTAAACTGAAACAGCATTTTTTGATATTACTAGTAAAAAGACATTTTTTGGCATATGGATGCCAAATTTCGTAGTATAACAATATTTTCGGAAAAAAAAATCTCACAAAACGTTATTCAACAAACGTAACAACCAAAAAAATTATTCTCAATAATATTTTTATGTACATATCATGAAATTTTGCGTTTCTAAGTAAAAAAGTGGCCTTTCAAAAAACTAGTGACGACGTCATATATCTCGAATAGCGATGACAAAACAAAATTTGATATAAGCAAATCAACATTACTGTATAATCCACCATACACCCCAGACTTGGCACATAAAGACTTTGGCTTTTTCAGAAATGAAAAGAAAAAAGCGTAAAGGTGATTTTCCTTATTGTGTTTCAATTGAGCTTTCTGATAAAGGTTTTATGGATACAAAAAGGAGTTGAAACCAGAAAAATGTTGGACCCCTCTGTGCAGTCCAAGAGCCGACCGCAAAAAATCGAAGAGACGTCAAATAACAAGAATTATAAAAATCGAACAACGTGCTAAAGAATTATCGCCGAATATACATAAAAAATGAAGATGATGATTTTCTCATGGGTGACATTAATAGACCTAGACCAGATTTGCCACCCCCAACAAAAAAAAAACAGAAATCGGACAAGGTGTTAAAGAATTACCGCTGTGTCATACATAAAACAATATTCAGGTGAATTGAAAACCTCCTCCTTTTTTGAAGTTGGTTGAAAAGAGATGGTCGCTTTGGATTGTCCCAAATTATCAGACACAGACTGAAGAATGTATACAGTGAGATGGAGACGAATTCCTTGGGGATGCTACTGATCAGGAGATAATCTTTTTTGGGCCAGGATTAAGTAGTTGGAAAGATGTAACTATGGAAATATGTAAAATGTTTATATTATGTTGAGAAAAATGAAAAGAGGGAGTTAACAAAAAATATTAAAATATAAACATCCAGTAATATTATTGCATATCATTTAGTTTACACCGATATTCAATTAAGAGGAATGAAGCTCAGACATGACCCAATTAAAAAAAAAAAAGCAGAAGAAAAAATATTATAGGTTAATAAGTTTAGGTCAATGTTGAATTCGACTAGTTCTACAGAAAAGCCAAAAAAAGTCAAAATTAATAAAAATCATGGCGAGTGAGTCGGGTACACGAAAGAGCTATAGGAAAGTACTAGTTATTAGCGAGCCAACACTTCAGATGGTACTGAAAAACCAAACCATGATAAAACAACTCAAAAAAACACTCCCAATAGAAAAATTAAATACCTTCCCGATGGAATAAAATTTAAAATTCATGATACCATTTACAACATGAGATCATCGAAAAAATATTTAACTTTAGATACAAATCACGAAGAAATTAAAACTAAAGCAATTGTAAATTTAGGAAGAACCAGAGTCATTGGAAAACTTTAAAACATATCGGATTTAAATTTGAGAAAGAAGAAAATCGTAAGGCATTATTATGTGAGAAATCGGTAGTAGTTCACAAGCACATTCAGTTCTTAAGGTATGTCCATAAGTTTAAAAGAAGCAGTGCTTCGTTTGTGTCATGGATTTTTTTCGATGGGATCTACAAAAAAGAATCTGGCAGGATATAAATATAAAATATAACTGTGCAAGTGAGGGAGAAAGACATAATTATGCATGCATGTAACGAGGATGGCTTTATTTTTGATGCAGAACTTTGTGCTACACCACTATGGACTACATAGTAGAAAATACACTCCAATCAAAGGAAATATTGCATTATCAACTTAAGTTCAATCGTGAAAGATGAAGATGTTCACTGATCAATACCTCCAAAGACACAGAAAAGGAAATACAGGAGAGGTGCAGTGAGTGAGAGGTGGTATCACTGAGATAACGAGAAGGTAGAGAATGCAAACGGCAGAAAAGAACATCTTAACATGATTTATCGAATCTAATAAAAATTGTTATTTTTCAGGTTACAAAGAACCTGAGGCCTAATTCCTGAAACTGTGCGCTGAACACCGCATTCGGTTAGCGACGCATGGTCGCCACCGCATGCGACGGAAAAGTTGTATTCTTGACTACCCTTCGTTAGAGTAGTGTCGTGCCGCATGGTGTAGCGAAGAGTCTTTGATTATTACGGCAGTTCAATCGTTTTCCACCAATAAAATTTAAGAACATTGTAAAAAAAATTGACCTGTGTGAGTTTCAAATTAGTAGTTTCTATCATTATTAAAATAAATTTGAGTAGGTATTTGGAAATGAAAATTGATAATAAACGGAAAACTTTAAAATTAGCAAAATACTTTTATAAACTGTATCTGGTAACAAAAATGCACCCTGCCAGCCAGTGTAATTGAGAGGTTGTAGTTCTGCATCTAATTGTGCCTCTTTAATATTTTGTATTAATTGTATAAAGTTGAATTCCTCTATATCATCCATTTTATAAAAAATGTACACTTGTAAATACAAAGTTAATGACATAATGACTAATGAACACTTGATAATTATAAAAAATTCATTAAAAATATAAACTAGGAAGAATAATTAATTTTATTTTAAATCTATGTGACAGTCACAAATAAAATGCTTGGATACACATAGTTACCGCATGCGAGATAAGGTTGTCAAATGGTCAAGAGCGTTCGTTTCAAATCATTCGCCAAGCGTCGCATGCTGGATCTCTCGCATACGGCAAAGGCTTTCAAGAATACCATTTTTCTACTCGCATATGTCACCGAATGCGAGACGATGACGAACGTCGTCAGGAATTAGGCCCATGACCTAAAAAAAAATTCCTGATAGGGAAAGAGTGTCTGGTGCGGACGAAGTATTCATATCAATAAATATGTATAGAAGAAAAGGATGAAAAAGGGATAGCTGGCTCCTTGTTTAAAGCATTTATTCCCATATTATCACAAGAAGAATTGAATTATTGTATTTGTAAACAATGTGGCATATGTAAGAAAACATTTTTGGATCTGGTTATTCTATTGGACGAACAAGTTCAGCACAGGGATTCTTAGATGTGAATACGTGACGTGTCGAAAGATGAGAACTTCACTGCAGCCGTAACGAACCTTATTAAAGAACGTTCCCTTGTAAAATTCAAGGAAAGATGGGATTTAACAAAATGCTGCAACGTTGCCAGGGGACTTTTAAGTTGCCCTGACAACACTACAGCAAACAAATACTTGACTATAACTAGAAGAATCTGCTTCTGATCACATACATTCGGACTGGTCATTGTCAAGTATGAAAACACATCCATAGCATGGGTGTGTCCTATTCTCCAACCTGCAGGAGGGAAGAAGATAGATTTGTATTTCGACAATATAATAGAACCACCTCTTGGTGACATTGTCAACTATAACTAATTTATCGGCTGGCAGACGAGATAAGACGATGCACAATATGCTTAAGTACAGCGGGGGTAGCCCATCCCCTCACCTACAGGTCTAAGAAAAATATTGAATTAAAGATGAATTTATCGAGATATAAATCAAACACATATAAAGACTCAGCACTAGCAAGTGAAAGAAGGATCTTACAATTTATTCTACTACAAGCTAAGCTTGGCGTCCTTAAACGACCTTTGAGAGAGCTAGTGAAAGAGGAGAATGTTTGTACTGACGAGTCAGAATCTGATAAGCTCAGATTTACAAATTTGACTATCGTCTATGTTTTCATGTGGTCTAATTGATACAAGGCGCAAAGTTCTATACTCAAAAGATCCAGGAACGATTCCTGGCAGGTAAAGCAGGAACAGAGGTTGGAAAGGTTTTTCGCAGTTCTCCCACTTCATACACAGGATTTTATCGCGAAGCTAACCGAAGTGAACGCCTTTTCATTGGCATAGAAAATTATTTTATAGATGCTAATAACAATTTCGCGAAAATAGTTTAATAAATTGTGAATAGCTGTTGAAATTTTGTAGAATTATGATTTGGCATATTATTTCTTGTTTAAATAATTATTTGTAGCTCATAAATAGATACGTTTGTCCGATTCTACCAGTAATAATTTAAAATAACTTTATTCTACGATACGACACTGCAGAAGAAACATTACCGCGAAATTCTCGAAACCGTCCGACGGGGTTTGACATTTACCACCTCTCTACCTACCAAACACTTTCCAACTTCTGTCCCTGCTATGCAATCATTTTTCTTTTTCTTTCTCAGCTTTCTCAAATATTTTTCTTTGGTTTGTTTTTACTTTGGGGATGTGGGGATATATTTCTTAATTTCGTAGGACGAATTGGGGATTATATCTTCACATTTCCAAATGTTTGTATTACTATTTTGACAAAGTTGGTATTTTAGTACTAAGATTTGGTTTGGCGGTTCCTGTGATATAAGTTAGAAAAAAACTGCAAGAACATAAAAACTGATTTTCATCCACTAATTATTATTGTCAAATCTATTCTTGATATCACAATTTTCAAGAATAATTATAATGTAATCTTTTGAAAAGTGGGAGTGTAAAATGAAAAACTACCAATATTACAAGTAGATTTGATTTTGTAAAGAGAAATATTTCATATTTATATACACGTGGTGATTTAAAGCAACGGTAAACTTCAGTTGTTAAAATTTCAAGTTTTTAATTAAAATACAGCAATGATCCAGGATAGCTTGCCTTTTATTATCAACTTTGATCAGAGCGATGGGCTTATATTTCTAAACAAAATAACATCAATAAAGACTATCTTTTTTTTTTCTAAAAAATTTCAATAATTTCTCAACTTTTCACAACTAAACAAAAAATGTTTTATAATGCTGTTAAAAAAATTTTTTTTGTCCGTCAGAAAGTGGTGCAAATTCTACAAACAGAATTTACAAAAACAGTTCAGAGCTGTCAGTTAAATACGCAATTTATTCTAGTAGACACAAACAAATCTGTGGGCGACTAATGGAAAATAAAATTAGGATTTTTTACCTCGTCATGAACAACCTTGCAAATGTGATGTAACCTTACTAAGCCCAAGTTATTAGACTCACATAATTAGGAGGGAACCCCAAATTTAGAAGCAACAGGCACGGTTACAACAGCAACAGACAATGCAGAATATCTAAAGAGTTGATTAAAACTTTGAAACAAATAAAATCTAAAGATGAATAGAACATAAATGTTTGTAAAGTAAAAATAATTATAACAACGCAACGTCACGTTGCAAGGTTTATCGAAACGAAGTTAAAAATATTTTATCTACTGTTAGGCGGCTGCAGCTACAAAATGTAATCCAATTTATATCGACAAGATCACGATCGTCGATATTCGCACCACATCATTATAAGATTCTCATATAAGTTTAAAGCAAAGTCTGCTATATTTACATATTTTACATACAAACTTCGCTTCGGTGGTAAAAAATTGGCTAGCCGCTAGAAATCGAGATAATAAACTGAGAGTCAGCAGCAATAAAATTGAAAAGGATCTTTTTAGGTCGAAATGATAAAATGACCAACCATGGTTTACTCTGGTTTTACGCATACGTCAAAATAACAATATTTTTGGAGTGAGTGTATATAAAGGCAACCCTAGTTATTGTTAAAGAAGAGACCTCAGTAGGGTCAACATCTTACTGGAGAAGCCTCCTCAGGACATTTGTGAGACTTTAAAATTAGTTTCCAGGTGATCAAAATAACACACGTGTGTGTAAAACCAGAGCAAACCATAACAATTAATAATGTATTTTTTATTTATCCTAAAATAATCTATTCCTTCGATTTTTTGATGTTTTGAAGTCTTAGACTACTTTTATATATTTTTAAAACTTATGTACAAAAATAAAACAAGTTCTCCATAATATCAATAATGATCGTATTGAATTAAATTTATCCCTATACACCAAGACGCATATGAAATAAATAAAATACTTAAAATGCAATAGATAAACAAACGTTGATTTACAGTACAAGGAATTACTTTGAGGTCTAAATGCATTTAAATTGAAGGAAATTTATTATTTCAGACTGACATGTAACAGTCATTGGTCCAACAAGTGAATTAAGGGTTGATTCTAGACTTGTAAGAACTTTTTCCATACATGAATATGTCGGCAGAATCGAACACCTACCACGCCCCAGCAAGCTGGCAAATGCTTTAAAAAAATTGCAAATTAAATTTTTTATAGATAATCTTTATGCCTTGGTGTACAGATGATAATACATTGTTTAAATTAGCACCTTAATCCAAAACGACGCTTATACCAGCGCGCTAAAACCAATTTCTGACAGCCGAAACGAATAAATTCAAAAACACAAAATTTCTGACTGGTACAATAATACTTATATCAATAAAATGAAAAGAACCAGAAATGGGTTGTACTATGTGTGACCGATATCGAGAAACGAGTCCTTTTGTTGTTGGAAGTCGGCCTTGTGCATCGTATTGAACGATATCGTTCCGTATAAACCGGCTCCGGACATAGCCGGCAATTCGCGAGCCTTCAAATTGTACTTTTCATTACTCACTTCGGTCCTAATACTGTCGTCTGTCATTAGTTCCGTGTCGGTTGTTGTCGATGCTGAATCAGCACTGATGACAGTACCGCTGGCCGAGGGCAGTAATCTCAAGTCAGGGGTGGTTCCCAGAGCATATTTGAAGAATTCATATGTCGACCAACAGATGGCCGTTGCTGGCATTTGATACATTACTCTAGCTTGCATTCCTATAAAATTTGTATCGATTACATTCATGTTATGCATAAGGAATCGCAAAAATTTTAACCGTAGGTTCAGGATGTCAAAATATTAATGTTTTTTTTAAATAACACTGGTTCAAATGTCATATAGGGTGTTACAAAAATGATGTTAAATACCCTTAACTTGCAAGTAAGCCAAAATGTAAATTGTAAAATGTCTCATAACATACACTAAGGCATTTCTAAAAATATCATACCTAAGGCTAGTTTAAAACATGCCATAAAAAGTACAACAGCAAAAGTACCACTTGGCTGGTTAACAAAACTATAAATAGCTTACCTGTCTACAGATTAAAGAATCTATACATACATACATAGATAAATAAATAAAAAGAGATGGTTTGAATTATAGGTGGCTTCCTTGTTTATAGTACAAGTTTACTATTGGGTTTAAAAATAACCCAATTTACATGTAAATTACAAATACCAGTAGTTTATAGATTTGACAACACTGCGAATTTCAGAACAAGGAGCACTAACAAACTTGTTGGCCGTTTGTTTTATAATGGTAAAAACAAATGAATGTAGGCAAAATAACTTAATATATGTGCATAATGTTATAATTAATTCCAAATTATTTTTAGTGAGACATTATTGTCCCGTCAGTAATTTTAAATGAGTTAAAAATGTCTCGGCAGTAAGAATATAATTTGTTACAGATATGAGCTGCCTTGGTTCGCTTACCCAAAAAGAGCTTGAAAAGGCTCTAAATGAAATATTAAGTGAATCTAGTCGAAGTATTTGAAGGATCAGATCTTTCAGAATTTTGTCCAGAAGAAGATGGAGAAGAAAGTTTAGATGAATTACTGCTCGGATAAATATATTCCATGTCCTTAACAATTAGTTAAATGGTTACTAATTCTTGTATATACGTTACTGAGTTAATCAGTTGCTTATTTTATTGCAATAAATTCCGTGGTGAAAGGGATACGTATTGCAATAAATTCACTGGTGAAAGGGTTAAGCATGTCTATTTCTAATACATTCTTAGAAATTGTTCAATGCAAATACAAATTCGAAATGTTATCAATTCATAACAGCTTTGAAAACATTCTATTGTAAATATAAAAACGTAACGTCAATTCAAAGAAAAAGTTTAGCGGTATCATGATTTTTTAAATACACTTAGAATCTTTACTGTGATTAGTAAAACCGTCAATTTAGAAGACGGGATAGGTATAGAATGGAAAAAAGAAGTCAAATATCTAGGCTTAACCCTGGACAACAAAAATCTCTGGACCAAACATGAGAAGGAAGTAGTAAATAAGGCCACAAAAGTCCTAATGGTATGCAGAAAAATTGCAGGTAAAAGATGGGGATGTAACACACCGCCATGGATGACTAGTGAGGCCAATCATCACTTATGGGGCTGTAACCTGTAGTAACAGAACTAGTTTAGCGACTATGAAAGCTAATATCTCAAAAGTACAAAGACTAGCCTGTGATTTTAAACCTCACCCCTCTACATTAAATTATAGAAAATGTAGCAAAAAGGACAAGAGAAAGAATTATCAGGAACTAAGTAATCAGACGAAAGTCTATTAGCTTCAGGATCGAAGATACTTCAGATATGCTCCAGGACGAAATGAGAAAGAACTGCAGTTTAGTGAAAAACATTAAAACACAGAGCTGGGCTGCAAGAAAGAATGGAACCAAGAAATCATTGCGTTTGAAACCGAAAGATATTTCATTCAGTGGTATACGGATGGTTCCAAAACTACAGAAGGGGCTGGAATAGGAGTGTATGGGCCTAGAATTAGGTACTGAAAGTTTGGGAAAGTACCCAAACATCTTCCAGGGACTCAATTCTCGACTTTCATTCCCAAGGGAAAATACAATTTAACGATGTGAATTCAGTTTTCGTATTCTAAACATAAGGACAACCCTGTTTTTTCTAGCTTTTTCAGGGGACAATAACCAAAACAAAAACACGACAAATCCTTAAATAACACTCCATTCCCGATCCCAAAAAATCAAAATCCCTTAATAATGCCGTTCAGGTAAGGAGTAAGGGCTACTATATCTCCAGAATTTTTAGTTGTAAATGGTGTTTCCATGGGAATGTCTATTCCGACAAGTTCGAGAACCTATTACCAGGGGAATATACGTAGTGAAATCTTTTCTCATGGGAAAATTTGCCAATGAACTCGAGAATCGAGCTGCAGGTGGAAATTCACGCAATTGAAAAGTGTATCCAGTTCAACATCGAGAGAAACTATTGCTGACAAGAGATTATCATCATGTATGATAACCTAACAGCCATCAAAAATGCTGAGCTCTTACGTAATCAGCTCAAAAATGGTCTGGAAATGCCTATAAAAACTGAATGAGCTAGGCGAATGAAATACAGTTACTCTCACTTGGGTGCCGGGACATAACAGGGTAAAGGGTAACGACATTGCAGATAGTCTTGCAAGAAAAGGAACTCAAACACACTTTGTGGGACCTGAGCCATTCTGCGTTTTCAGCAGTAACACAATATAAAGAGATTAAAAAAAAATTGGGCAGTGAAAGAACCGATAATTGGATCAATCTCTGGGGGTTAAGGCAGGCTAAGGAATTTCTAGGTGAATATAACCAGAAAAGATCAAAAGCCTGAGCAAAACCAGGCTAACCATTGTAACAGGGATCCTTACCGGGCATTGTACCTTTTTTCACCCTTTAAGGCATCCCTTTGCTCTCCCCCGAGGGATTCCGGCAGATCCCCCAATCGGGCTTGGGTCCAGCCACTGGCTCCCTCAATCAAGCTTGGAGTTCAGTCTGCTTGCCCTTCTCTCAGAGGTCGCATGGCCTCACTGTGACGCAGGTGGCCTACTGTGCCACCATTTGGATGCCCTACTCCTACCCATTTATCATCATTCATTCCACGTCATCGATGATTAACCGCTAGTCGGCTAATTCCAGCGGTCGCTCATGCAAAACGTGACCGGAGACATCACAAAGAACACTGAGAAAACTGAGAGTAGTAGAAGATAGTGAGTGCGGATTCTGTAATAAGGAGGATGAAACCTCCATTCACAATCTGACAATGTGTAGCACTCTAGAATCCCCAAGGGTACTATACTTAGGAGACAACCAAATAGAAGAGGTCGATCTACCTAACTTGACACCACTCCAACCAAATACTATCCTTGAGAAGATAGGATTGGAAGGTCCGTTATAGGCATCGAGACTATTTCTTTGCTGCATTAGATATTTTAGGTCTCAGTACATTACTTACCCAACATAACATATTGTGATTAGTAAAATTAAAATAAATGAGGTTATTTTTCCTCAAATCATTAAAAGAAAATGAATATTCGTTAATATTTTTCTAAAAAATATTAATGAACTCGATAGAAGAACATTTAAGAATGTCTGTTTGACGATATTTTTAAAGTTTGAGAATTACGCAGTGTTATCGAATTTTATAAAAACATACCATATTTGTAAATTTCTATTATACTTTTATATCACGTACAGAGTTTATGAATAAAGTAAAAATGGTTACACGTGACATAGGAGCTTGAACTCTTCTTATGCTATTTTTATGACCTTTAAAGATTATTTAAAAACAAACGTTTATGCAGGTATCGGTACCTAGATTTAAACTACGTGCCAAATTAAAGGTAAAAAAATTACGCAATTTAACACATGCAATCTTAAAATATAAGGCGGGACAGGAAACTAGCAATTTGTGATAGCTTCTAATTGTGATTAATTAAACAGAGGCTACTTCAACATGATACAGGACGATCAAGTATATTTGAACACATTTTAAATAAAGTTATATAAATTAAAAAGTAAGTCATGGCCGAGGGGTAAACCACTAAGGTCAGAACGTACCGGTATTTCAGAAATCACCAAAAATTCGTATGATTTCGGCGATTTGTGTGTACTCAGTGGCGCACCCAAAGGGGGAGAGTTTAGAGGTTACAACCTGAAATATTAATGATTTAGCAGCAATTTATTGTAAATGTCTTTTTTTCTCATTTTACGTTGTACAAGTCATACTAAAAATCTTAACACTCCCCCCTAAAAAAAAATACCTGAGTTCGCCGTTGTGTGTACTAGTATTTCGGGAATGGTTCATCCCTTGGGCATGGCTTAATTTAAAACATTTTTTTTTGTAGAACACATGTTACTAACCTCTAAAATAACCGGAAACGCCCTTTAACCTATAAACGGTCTTCACAGCTTCGACCATTCCACTCGCCACCGGAGTCTGCTGAGTATTTAAGAGAGTTTTACAAACGTCCAAGGGCGTCGTAATAGCTGCAGCGATACCACCGGCTAGGGCTCCGCTTGCCATGTGCGCCTTTGGGTCGTATAATTTGTCTTTGTTTAACGCCTTCTGCGATAATTCGTAAACTACAAAATGTATGCTCTGGAAAGGTACATTCATAGTTAATTGTGTAGTGTACGATCTGTAAAAGGCCTTGAATCCTTCTGTACGATATATACTTATGGCACACCTCAGCGCCGATTTGTAAGGAGAATTTGTCATTTGCATTCGTTGCTTCACAACTGAAATCGAAAAGAAATTCAAACAGAAGCATAACTGATTACTTAATTGGTTAAGAGTGTGACTGAGCTCACCGGCCTACACCAATTGTCGGCCACAACCATTCTCTTTTAAATAAAATGAATATTTAAAATAATATATAGGTATGTATTCAAAAATTCCCGTCATTTTGTTACTATTTATAAGTGATGGCTTGCTTGGAAAAAACATTATATATCAGACTTTCTCTTTTCATTATAAGTTATTTTACATCATTTTGAAGTTTGTAACCACCGGTAGAGGAGCTAATAAATTACTTCGATTTTATTTTTATGTGCATTTGAAATTGTGGCCCTCTACTGGATTTTTCAAATAATTTTAAGAATCAGCCAGTTTTATTGTTTTTTTTTATTATTATTCTAGATTATGAATGTTAAAAACAAAGTAAAAATCTTCCAATTACAGCAGAAGAAAATATAAAAAAATGTATAGCCATAAAAATTGGGAACAATGAGGCAGACTAGGTAAAAACGTACACCGTGAACTGATGCTCGCAAAACGCGACTTTTTTTATGTAATTCTATTATTTTTGTTCTATAGTTTAAAATCAAAATATTAAAAATGAAGTTTGAATTTCCAAAGATTGGAATAAAACCAATTAATTGTATCAAGTACTAGTTTTTCATTGGGCAATCAAAAATGAAGTTCATTCAAAAATAACCGACAAATGGAAATAATCCTACCAAAAATGAGTGGAACAGTTTTTGTTATCGGAAAAATGTATTTTAACTCTATTGAATTCAAGATTTGATCTTTATCAAAATCTTTGCACCTTCCCTTGTTGGTACCTCTACAGTGAATATTACAAATCAGTGTTCTAAAAGTAGAAAAAAAATGTATGTAGTGAATCTCTTGATTGGATGATTCAATTAATTTTTCGCCGTTATAAATAATTTAAATACATGTTCTATTTTTATCTATTTAGAAAAATATTTTATCTTGTTTATTTATGATATTACATCGTAATAAAATAACCTTTATTGTAATGAAAAAAAAAAAAAACCTTTTAATAGATTCTGACAATGTAGAACAAGGATGTCAAACTCAGATACTGATATATGATAAAAATTAAAATGTTTAAATGGGCGGCAAAAAACTTTAAAATTGTAGAAACGTACAGGAATAAAAAAAGGAAAAGAATTATTTTTATATTAATTGGCCAACATTTCTTCCTGACACTTGGCATATCTTCTCTGCTACTATATGGTATTATTATACAATTCTGGTATATAGAAAAGTACTATATCTTGTATAAAGTGATCCACAAAAGGTGTCTCTGAAGTGAATCATAGAAAAAATATGTTTCTTCTTTATAAATTATAGTTTAAATTAGACTCAGAGTTATGTAGTTATCATGAAATAACTCACGTCAGTCTTTGTCGTTTATACTCACGTTAGGAGCATTTTCGTGTATCATAAATATGACTTTATTTAGTTATTTTATTGTATATTTCTTATGTTATTCATATAATTAGGCTATAGTTGAATACCGAAATAATAAACATTAATTTAATGTGAAGAATGCTGTCATACGTCACTGCGTCAAAGTTTGGAGGTTACGGGATAAGGGGTTTTTTCAGTAGTGGGCATATATGGCACCTCCATCGGCATTCTTCACATTTTTGGCATTAAATTATTGTCTATTATTTCGATATTCAACTATAGTAAGCATGTTTGGATAAAAATGACTAAATACATAAATTATTATTATTACTATGTACGTCTTGTTGGCCGAGCCTTAAAAATAATCAATGAATGCCGCATATACGGCCCGTGAGTATGACACCCTTGATATAGAATGTACAAAAAACATGGCATCTTAAAAAGACACTAATTTCCTGGCTGAACTAAAATTTTATTTAAAAATTGTTTCGGTAGAACTTTTGTAAGATTTAATATACTTTTGAATGATATGAACATTAATTTTCAGTAGATAGGTACCATATTTTGATATAAAATTTTTAAAATTAAAAGCAATTGCCGATTCATAAAATTAATACATAGAAAAATTATTATACATCCAGATTCAACTAAAATCATGTTTCATGATAAATGACGAATTATTAAAATAACCACCAGATGGCGTTTCTGTACTATGAGATCTATAAAACGATTTGTTAAAAAATATGTAATTTAGAGATGTTAATAGTCTCATTAAAAATGATGAGAAAAATAAGTTTTCCTGCTAGTATACTGATATCTACCACATATTAAAGCCTCATTTTTCGGAACCTTTGAATATACCTCCCACAGTAAGAAGGGTGCAAACATAATGTTGTAAGTATTTTTGTGAAAAAGGAAGTAAAAAAGTATGACATGCTCTAAATAAGAAGGTATAACTGCAGTAGAAGTATTAAATTTAAACTTTATTTATTGTTAGTAAATAAAATGAAGAAATTACTATTTTACATCATTTTTATAGTGTTCAAGATAATAAATAATAATTAAACAAGAAAAATATGTTTTCCTTCAAAATTGGATTTGAGGACATTGACATTAAACAAAATGAATTAATAAATACATTCCAAAGATAAATGCGTATTTGTTACCATTCCTAAACAATTTCCTACATGGGAGGATCTCCTAATTACAAAAAAAAATGTTCTAATTACGTTATTTATAATGTTGAAAAAGTTGGGTACAAAAATTTCAATTATTTATAATTTCTTAATTAGCTATATGCATAAGTAACCTTGCAAAATTATTAAATGGGGTAATAAACAAACTACAATAAAATGTAAATATTTGTTTATAAATATTGGGTGGTCCAACCAAAACGCACGATGTTAATTATAAATAAAACAAAAAGTTTTTAGAGAATTATCTTAATATTTTTTATTATTATAGAAGGATACATGACAATTATGTGTGAAACAAAATATCGGTCAAATGCTCACCATGGCTTCGGTGGCATACCTCTATCCGATGGTCCATATTTTCAATGACTCTGAGACATAATTGAGGTTAAATGTCGTTAATGTGCTGAATTATATCATCCTTTAGCTCTTCAATTGTTCTTGGCTTATTGACGTACACTTTTTCTTTTAAGTATCCCCAAAGAAAGAAGTCCAACGGTGTCAAATCACATGCTCTTGGCGACCAATTAACATCGCCACGACGTGAGATAACACGACCGTTGAATTTCTCGCGCAAAAGAGCCATTGTTTCGTTGGCTGTGTGGCACCACATATCGTCCAGGTCCATATCCTCAATTTCTTGCCACAAGAAGTCCGTTATCAATTATGTCTTAGTCATTGAAAATATGGACCATCGAATAGAGGTATGCCACCGAAGCCGTGGCGAGCATTTGGCCGATATGTTGTTTCACATATAATTGTCATATATCCTTTTATCATAATAAAAAATATTAAGATAATTCTCTGAATTTTTTTTTTGTTTTATTTACAATTAACATGGTGCGTTTTGGTTGGACCACCCTTTATATTTTAATAAAAATCTTTTCATATAAAAATTACGATTTTCAAATTAGAAATTAAAATCAAACAATTTTTACGCCATGTTATTTATGAATGAAGAAAACATTTAGTACAAGTTTAATCGTTATTTTAGTCCTTAAAAATGGGCTCAAATATACCTATTTAGTTTGACTTCTGGCACTGTTTTTCACGATATCAATATCCATATATCTTATCCAGTGAGTATTATAGATCAAGGACTGAAATTCATAAAATATTTCAGAAATTAGAACAAATATGCTATTTTAATTACTATTTTCTCAAATATATTTAAAACATGATAAAATTAAAAAAAACACACATTTAATAAAGACCTCACATTTCAGTGTAGCCACCTGGTGACTAAATTTCATCTGTTAGCACTCTTTAGAAAGTTTATTTTATTTTAGTCACTTCTGGAAATGTTAAATAAAATCTGATTGGTCCTTTTACTGGAATAAAATATATTTTAAATACTTAAATGTTTAATACTGTAACAAAAAATAATCAGTTATGAAGTCCAATGAATATTAAACTGAATAGTAGAAGTACCAAAGGCACTAAGGTACGAGTATGTGCTTAAAAGATTGTAGATAGCATTACCAATATCTCCACAAAGGTTCTAAGTGCCACATAAAATTTATAAGCTTATTGGATTTAAAATAACGTGGCGCATAAAAAGTAAAAGATACATTTAATAAAATATTTCTTAATTATCTGAAATTTGTGAATTTGGTACCTAGTGCCTTTGGTACTTCCACTCTTCAATTATTTAATAAATTATTATCCATCTTGAAAAGGAAGGTACCCACATATACATACCTACTGTTATTTCATTAAGCAAATATTCTTTTTAAGTTAATAAATAATTAGAAAAAAAAATACCTTCTGCTGGGTTCATAAAACCATCATGGATTAGAGTTGCTATACACCCAGATGCACCTAGAAATAAATTTTACTCTTGTCAAATACGTGTATACCTTTCAACATCAACATCAAAAGAATAAACAGTTACAGTTTACTGCTTATACCCCTTAAAGATGTTGGCCCATATTTATACACCGATCTCAGCTGAGTCGGATTTGGCTGTCATCTTTGAACGAAAATCGAATTTTGGTTATAATTTCTCTAGAGTTTCAGGTGGTTCAGATGTGACTGTCAAATACATTTACAAATTTGTAACTACCCATCTCAAAATTCTTGTGATATAACCGAACTTCGATTTTCGATCAAGGATGACTCAGTTGAGTCAAACTGACCACCCAACCAGCACACTTCTCTTATAACCTTTGAATTATAGAACATTCAATTCTTATAAAAGTTTTATAGTTGTTTCAGAAATTAAATATTGACTCATAAATATAGCAAATGATGCAATTTAGCTGTTGAAAACAAAATAGCACTATAATATTGTTATATAAATATTCTTACATCATATTTATTATATGTTGTAAATTTTTCTTACGAGATACTCAGTATTTCTTAAGAACAGCTATAAGTTGTATCTATAACACCAATTTCTATTTTAAGGCTTTTTGATTTATAACGGTTTTATATTTGTCTTTAGTAACCTTTTAAAGGTAAGTTGCAAATTTATAAAGCATGCTGATTGATATAATAATAAGATACATTGGTTATATATTCAACACTTATAAGGAAGTCGCCTCATTTTCTTGTTAAGGCAATTTGTGCAACATGTATAAAGCAAAATTGTTTCAACAAATATAAAATATTCTCATTGCAGCTACAAAGAACTATATGTAAGAGAGCAAACATAGCAATTACAAAGTATCCTTTAAATGTCTTTATTACTGCTATATTAGTGACACTTAAAAAACATCATAAGTAAATATATTGGTAAATCGACACATTATAGTTCTCGGGAGAGCAAATATAACTTTATTGTGGTGTTATTGCGAACAACTATAAAACCATTTGGCATTTACAAGAACTATTAGCACTAGTACAGAGCAAAATGACTTTATTGCATTGTTATTGTGAACAATTTCTGCTGTCTAATAGTTTCAAGAGAGCAAAATAGATTTATAGTGATTTTATTGTGGACAACTATAAATCCTTTTGCCATTTTTAACAACTATTAGACAAAATTGCTTTTCTCAAGTAATAAGATTTTTAGGCAATTCATTATGTCAGCATCCTCTAGTTAAACATTTATGCGAGGTGTTGGTAAAAAGTATCATAATTGCAAATGAAAAAATTTACTAGAAATGAGCCCACAGAAAATAAGCCTGAGAACAAAAGGCATATACTATTGATAGACATAGTAGTGCAGTAAAATAATAAAAAAAACGTTTAACAAATAAAAATATCAAAGTGAAATATTTAAATATCTATTATTATATAAATTAATTTGTATTCATTTATATTAATTTAATAATGTTATTAATATTAATTATTAACAGATAATATCAAAATAATATTTGTCGAACAGCAAATTTTGACTGTAATAAAAACTATTAGTTTTTTAGTCTGGTAATTATATTAAATTATGTTAAATATTACAGGATTAGGTATACCACATTTGAAAGTACCCTCGTAGACAATTGGCAATAAATTCTTGTAAATTATGGAAAAGTTAGGCAAATTGCTTTGTTGTTGCTGTTTTTAAAGCATAAATGTTTTAGAAATGCTTTTTGTGCAAATAAAACCTTCGCTATATTTGAAAAGTAAAATACATGAAGGTCAAAAATTAAAAAGGCAATTTTTGGTGAAATAATGTGATAATGGTCTGTAAACACCAGATACTAAATTATTGCTTATTAGTAAGAATAATTTAATCTAATGTTTCTTTTATTAATGCATTTTTACTTTCTTACATAAAAATTTATTTTTATTATTATCATTCAATTGAATGTTTAGAGTGGGGGCGTAAAAAATCGCCATAAAATAGTATAGACCTTCACATTAAAGTGAACCTCGTAAAATTTGCATCTCTATTAAAGATAAGGTAATATATTTTCCTACTTTTTTGTCATGTCTCATAACTAAAGTATATTACAAGACGCCATATCAACTGAAACCTTTATAAATTTAGACACTGCAGTAATCTAAAGAGTTCACAACAATTTTGTTTTTGGAGAATATATAAATAAAACTTTTTTTTCTTTGTAAAACCAGTTTCACGCCATTCCAATAAAGATTAAACATTTATTAAAGGAGGATAAAATTATTTAAAAGTGTTATTGCTTTTTAAAGGTTCCGAATAAAGGTTTCTTATAAATGTAACATCAAAGCGTTTTTACGGTTCCAAATTGGTTGCAAATACAGTAACTATAAATGTGTCTTTAAAACACTATTTGAGATTGCTTTAATAAACCCTTGTAAATATCTACAAATAAGATTTATTATATTTTGCGTCACATTAATAAAGCATTTATAAGGGAACTAAACAACTTTTTTTATTTATAATTTGGTGCCCAATTTAAGCTCATAAGAGTTGTATAAAGCCTGTAAGAATATATATAAGTAAAATTATAAATCTTATTATCTTATAAACATTTGCTTTAAGAATATTCTTACAGCTTATATAAACCCGTCATGTACTACTTGGGCAGAGAGATCTGTTTATAAATACGAGTCATAAAGATTCTTTTTTATTCATATTTACTTTGTAAATAAAGATTTTAAATAAAGTCAACCAAAAATGAATATACCAGTATTAATATTTTGGTACTACTGATTCTGATGCAGATTTTAAATTAAACATTAAAGAGTAAGCAACTAAAACAGTTTTCATCATATCTTCTTTTTAATTAAATGTACTTAGGTTGAATTACCAATTTAATAGAAATATTGCAACCGTATTAGAATGCACAATAACTACTAGTATTCATATCTGCAATATTTTTTTAATTATTTACTTTGAAAATTGCTCAATTGTAAAGATCATTATTGTCGCAAAATGGCCTTGAACACCATTTTTGGTCCACCTTCAAAATAAATGAAAACTAGAAAATAGATTATCGTTTACAAAATTTAAATTGTTATTTTAGTGACATTGTCAGCATTACAGTTTGAGAACCAAAATTAATTAAATTAATATATTTTACTCTTAGAATTACTTAAATCCTCTATTATAACTTTTTAACAAACAATACATTTAAAAATGTATATTTAATTTGTTATAGTCTTTAATAACAATGTGTATGGATTAATATTTCTTGGAATAGGCTAAAATCAGAATAATCTTTAATAACAATGTGTAAGGATGAATGTTTCTTGGAATACGCAAAAATCAGAATAGATTTAGTTGTAAGATAATATAAGTAACGTCACACAAGTCAAGGTCATCAGGTAAATAGAAAATAAAAAATAAACATTTTTTTCTATATCCACAATATATTATTGATAACTAATTCAAGCAAATATGAAACTTGAAACAATAACATAAAATGATTCTTCATTTGAATTAGATAAGATAACATTTTTTAACCAATTAAAATTATGTAATATACAGGAATAACCATTTTTTTAAGTACATGGTAATTTTTTGCTAAAATCTATGAATGAATTATCCTTTTACTTATTTATATTTATTAGGTATATGAAATAAGTCTTGTGCAAAGAAATGGTTTTGCATTGAAAGTAACAAAAATAAATGATTTAATTTATAAAAAATATAAATTATTTGATTTTTTACTGAATCTAAATACTGTTTGGTCCAATTAAAAATAATGTAACTACTAATTTTCAGTTATTTATTTAAATTAAGATATATGCTGTTAAGTTTCACCTAGAATACCACATACTTGTGAAATACCTTTAAGGAAAACAAAATCTAATAACTATAGAATTATTTTTTCTTTTGTATAATACCTATGGAAATGTAAAAAAACATATGTACCTACTCTTCATCAAATTTATCCTCATTTTTGACACATAAAAAACCTGATTCTAATGCATTGTAGAATTCTAAAGTTTATAGTAACATTCTAAATATCTTCTTCAGTCTATAAATAATGCCATAGACAAATTATGAACAGAATAATAGCATATCTACATGTGTGTAAATACTCATTAAAATTTCTAATTAGTTTAATAGGTACATTGTACATTTGAAAGAAAGTACCTACATAATTCATACTTTATCATTTGCATTAGCAGTGATTCCAAGAATATTTTATGGAAATTAAACATTGTAAAATCCAGAAGATGTTTGTAAACTAAGAATGAATGAGTTAATTATTTTAACATTTTGAAGAATAAAAAATTATTTTTGTTTCAAAACAATCTTAAAGGAAAAATATATTTCATAAATTAAATAAACCTACTAAACAATTAAACGGATATGAATTAATGTGATAAGGGTTTATGTACATAATAAGATCAAGCTTTTATTTTAGTTCCTAGATAAGGAAGCATTATTGACTCATTTCTAAAAGATACTTAAGATATTACATATTTTACTAAGTATTAAAATAAAAAATTTGAACTTCTTTTTTTCTAAGCTCCTCTGACTTAGTGTCTGACAACACTATAACCCTAATGGCTTATTGTATTTGACCCATATTAATTCATAGTACCCACAACTTACCAAAAGCTAATGTATCAAATTTGGATGAATTAAAAGTCCTTGTTAAAGTGTTCTTCAAATATTCATAACTACTAAAGTATAAAGCATGCGAGGGTCCTGCCCCCACAACCATAGCAGACATACCCCTTACAGGCCTAAGTAGTCCTTCATGTCTAACCATTCTTAACAAAGTTTCACTGATACCTTCTGTGCCCGAGGCCGCTAGAGACTGCATTCTAGTCTAAAAGACACACATATTGGGGTATATGAATTTAATATACTAGAAAGTACCTACCTTAACAGAGTCCAGGGGGTACATAACACAGTGCTCCATAATACCAGCTATCGCACCAGCTATCATATGTGTAGTCACATTATCGGTCGGAAGCGTTTCGTAATCTTCGGGATTCATCTTGAAAAGAGGTTATGTAGATTGGAATAAATTTAAACAAAAAAGAGTTAATGGTGACGTTGTCACGAAAATTTAAAAAGCAGTAAAATTTAACCAATCAAATGAACATCATTTATTTGAGTTTTCTAACCATTAAACCCCTCGTTCACAACTGCACTGTCATATGTGAATTACTGTGCATGCAAATAGCAAAATTTTTATGTCATGTGGTTGAAACGTCGTATCTATTGCGCATCTAAATGCGCATGATGCTGATCCCTTGTCACTGTACAGTGTACACATGTGTTCTATGCAATAAAAATAATAAAATGTTGGCTGTTGGGAGTATATTTTTACACTTTTTCGGACATTCGGATATTCCAATAATTCAACATCCAATTTTGTGGGAAATTTTGACGTTTTACAATATGACAATATTGACAGTGATATTTTTCATCTTCTATTTTGTTCATATCCTGCCTTGGCATTTGATATTTGGGAGTGACTGGATATCATACAGACATTGCGTTCGGTCTGCCAAGTTCCTTTAACACTTTTAACTCCAAACGACCCTTTTAGCGTTCGGTTTAGTCCGATTAGTGACAGTTTAACACGCTTAAATGTCATTTAAAAGTACCCTAAAATTTGTCCCGCTTCAGCCCCTGACTATCCGAACTCGCCTAGAATAGAGATGTGCGATTCGATACGATATTTGACAGTATCGATATTCAGGAGTTCGAAACTCGATATTTTGTATCGATATTCTGCGACTCAAAGATATCCCGTATCGATACATGTATATGTTAAATCGTATCGAAAATAAAATAACACGTATGCATCACTAATTACGAAATCTATGGATAAGATGCTAAACATACATTAGTTCGTTTAAAATATTGTATATTTTTAAATTATACACCTTAAAATCAATTTATATTTTCGTATATAATTTTTCATTCTAATATTTTAAAATAAATTTACTTGTACTATGTATATTAGTATACCATTTCGATATTTTGAGTATCGATACTGTTGCTTACGATATTAAAGTGTATCGATACATTAAACTTAGATCTGAATCGATACGCAGTATCGAACATCTCTAATACAGAATCTAATTTTTAGATTTTTACAGTAGTTTGAAATATGTGATAGTGTGTACTGTGGTATTTTTCTTTTAACGTGTAATCCGAAACCATATACAGGACTTACAGGAGTGACACAGCTTTAGGTAATGATTCTGTTCATCGATTTTTAAAAAGTAAGAAGTAAGTACCCAGTATATCTAGTAAGTATCTTTCCGGAGTCATCGGCCATTCGAATATTCGAATAAAAGAATCGCATAAAAGAATTATCTAATCGAGTTAATCGATTATTTTTTCTAAATATTCGAACATGTGAAAAATCGAATTATAGATGTTACACAGTGCGAGTCAAAGGTACGGAATAAATTCGATATTGGTATTTTTTAAATTCCAGAAACTGGTCAATTTTATTTTGAAAATATGATTTGTTTGCACAATATTTGGATGTACAGGGTAATGCGTGTAAATATTAATAAAAATTCACTTTAAAATAATTATTTTTATTTATAAATTTCCTTGCATCGCAACAAACTTATGTTGCATTTTCGTGTTAGGAATTTGATAGCGTTTCAGAAAACAAAAATAAAAATGGGGGTTGCTAAATTTATACGCATAATCCTGTATATCCGAAGAAAGTGCGGAATTAACGAAAATAGCCTGTTTTTGGATTTTTTCCAAAAATCAATATTTTCCGCTTTATCGGATTTTTTCCGATACTTTTGACTTTCAGAGTATTATAGTCTACTCCCTTTTTATCTCTACAGAAGTTATATATAAAAAGGAATTTTGAATATTCTATCACCTAATGGCTTTAGGGCAATACAGTCCTCCAGTACAAGGGAAAACCAATTTATATAAAATGAAAATGCATTGTGACTCGAAGCCGACTCTGTTCTTTGTTTGTTACCGTACCCGCGACCAAAAGTCTAGCGTTGGCAATATTGAGACCTATTTTGAGACTCGAGAAACCGAATCGAATGTTTTACATCGCAGTCTGACGCGAATAGAATAATTTCCAGAACTTCTAGACTGAGCTTCTAGCCAGAGTTAGTTCTTTCGAGTGTTACATTTCTATATAAATAGCGCGACTTTTCGACAGACGTTAAGTTTCAATTTAAGTGTTGGACACTTGGACAGTAAAGACAAATTGTATCTAATAAATAAATAAGAAATTTCAGTTATAATAGTGCACAAGTATTATATAAATTATTTAGGGCCGATTCCACCGCTGTGTTAAACGGATATTAAAATGACTTGTTAATGTAAAAATGTAATTTTTAACTTCGTTTAACACAACGGTGGAATCGGTCCTTAGTACGTTATAACTAAATTATAAATAAGCTATTTTTATTAAATAAATTATTTTTAAATTAAAACAATCGTTATGCTTTTTATCTACCCATACCATTTTAAATAAAAAAAAAACTGTTACTAATCATGCACTTGTGGCATTTGTGTGTATAGAATTGCCTAACAACACAGCAAACTTTAGGTGTAGCATAATCGAATTAGGGGATTTCTCGAACGTAATATGGATTTCCACGAGAGTACAGTTTATAAACAAACGCTCTCCCTGCAACAGTGCATCTGTACTCTCTACAAAATATTTTAAAAACAGATATTTGGAGGCTTTCGCTGGCTGAAAAATGACATACCCATTATATTTTTTGGGAAGGCCTACTCCCGATTTAAAAGTTATTCTGGCAGTTATAAAAGGTTCATATTCAAGACTATTTTCAAATAAAGAATCTAGGTTAGGATGAATAAAAAGTGTGCTAAATTAAAGGAATAGTACTTAGGGTAGAGTAGCCCCTAAGGAAAATCTCAAATATCTTGAAAATTTAATTCAAAAGATAAGACGTTGAGCAACAAAATGTATGTTAATTGGAAAGATACTCGCACGTTTTACCAAAATACAGAATTTAAAAATTATATGAGTGGTATTACCTGCAGCTTGGGAGTAATAGCAGAATATGGGTCACCGGCAGAAATCGCATTCATTAAGGTTTTGCAGGCTAATTAAATTTATATTCGCCAAAGAAACATCAAAATTAATTTTGGAGGAAGAAGCTAAAATTAAAAGTAACATCAAAAATTTATCAGATTTTGAAATAGTGTTCAAGGAAAAACGGCTTTGTGTTAATTACACTTTATTAATGACAATGTTAGATGGTATTACCATTAATACTTTGTCAAGTACCAATGCGACACAAAAATGTTTTATCTGCGGAGCTTCCCCAAAGGAAATGAATTTAGAGTCAGTCACTAAAAAACCTGTTAAAGTTGAGAACTTCAATTTTGGATTGTCCTCAATGCATTCGTGGATTCGTTGCTTTGAGTGTTTGTTCCACATATCTTATCGACTCCTATTAAAAATTTGGCAGGTTAGAGGATCTGAAAACAAAAAAATCTACGAAGATCGTAAAAAATATATTTAGGCTGAGTTCAAAACCAAGATGGGGTTGGTAGTCGATAAACCAAAACCGGGTTACGGATCCACGAATGACGGTAACAGCAAGAAGGTTTTTTAATAACGCTGATCTTAGTTCCACAATAACAGGTATCGACAAAGAGCTAATATTAAAATTTTCCATTATTTTACGAACAATTGCTAGCGGTAAGAAAATTAATTTAATCCAATTTGACCGGTTACTTCTTGAGACTAGATATTACTCTACTTACAACTCTACGATTGGTACTATATGCCTAGTAGTGTGAATAAGCTATTAGTTCATGGAAAATATATAATTTAGCATTAAGACCTTCCGATTGGCCAGTTAGCTGAAGACGCCTTAGAGGGTAGACACAACGAAAATACATAAATTTCGACTGTTTCAATCAAGAAAATCTTCAAGAGTTAACACAAACACAGATATAATGACCTCATTACTAACTTCTAAGTTATAGATGTCTAATCTTTAAAAATATATTGTATGTACAAATACCAAAAGTTATAAGTATTTAATTTCTTAAAAAAATATTTATTTGGAACACCTTGTATGTCTGGTACCATATTTTTTTTTTTTTTTTTTTTTCATTTGTACATTAATAGTAGTCTGTCATATAAATATATCCAAAATTTTTTCCAAACTATTGGTGGTTTAGAACTGAGGATTTTTGTCCAGGTAGATCTATACCGCGACGCACTGTTCGACGGCAGGAATTACCCCGACGGCAGTAATTATTCCGACGGCCGAAATTACCCTGACAGCCGGAATTATCCCGACAGCGGAATTATCCCCGACGGCCGGCATTACCCCACTCTACCCTATCGGGTAGTGCTTTAATAAGTTATGATAAATTTTATATATCCTGAGTGTCTTTCAAAAGCAGTCCCCCCGTAGACTAGACTACAAGCCGCCACTGCTATCGCCTGGCTGTAAAAAATCGAGAAATTTTTTATGGTCCAAAATATATATGCAAATATTAATTAATTAATTAATTAAATTGTAATATTTTTTTTAAAAATCTATAAAATAAATAAAAATTGGATATTCTTTCCGCACGACCGCAGCGCCAATTCGTTTTGGTATTATAATGGACTATTTCTGCGTATACTGACAAAGACAAATACAATTTTTAATAGAATTCGTAATTAAAAAGTATATATGTTAGTTTTAATAAAAGTATATGGATTTGTAAAACAAGTAAAACATTAATTTATTATTATTATTATATATTTCTATCGCTTAAATTAAAGAAAATTATATATAATCAATAAAAATCAATAATAAAATATAGATAGGCAACAGTATTTACTGGAAAATGTATGAGAAGTTGCCTAAGTCTAATAAGTTGTCATTGAAGAATTAGCCTGTTCTGTCAAAATAAAAAAATACCATTTAATAATAGCGTGAAGTTAAAATGTATAAAAAAATCTGATGTATCCAACACATGACTTTCCTATCTAGTTTTTATAGGCTTTTTCCGGTTATTTTGTACAACCTATTGCAGCATCTCTATAAATGTTTAGAGGATAAACTAAATATATACATTGTCCACATACATCTACCTCGAAACATTTTTCTATAGATATTCATTGAAAACGAAAATTCTGAAAAATTTAAATTTAGCACTTTTCCATTACGGTCCATTTTAGAAAAATCATGTATAAACAAAAATTATAGAGATCGATATCGCAAACAACTTTTAGTTCAACAATTTTCATAAAAATCAGAATTTTGCACATTTTGTCAAATTTCTCGGATACGGACCATTTCAGGAAATTTTAACATAAAACAAAAATTATAGATAATAATATTATAAGTAGCTTTTATTTGAACAATTTTCTTCTTCAAACATAAATAACAGATATATTCCATAAAATATAAAAACGGCCTCCCATAAAGTACCCCCCTAGATGTTCCGACTTTGTCCAAAATCTAATCATTTCACGTCAGGCCGAAATAAACCTTAAGTTTAAAATTTAATGTTATTTTCTTTATCCGTTTTTGAGTTTTCTTCAAAATTCGAAATTTACACATTTTCTCAAATATCTCGAATACGGTCCATTTTAGAGAAATTATGTATGGAGTAAAAATTATAGAGAATTATATTACAAACAACTTTTATTTGAACCATTTTTATAAAAAAATAATTTTTTTTACATTTTGTCAAATTTCTCGAATACGGACCATTTTAGGAAAATTTTGTATAGAACAAAAATTATAGATAATTATATTAGAAGTAACTTTTATTTGAAGAATTTTCTTCTCCAAACGTAAATAACAGATATATTTCATAAAATATAAAAATGACCACCCATAAAGTACCCCCCAGATGTTCCGACTCTGCCCAAAATCTAATCGGTTCATTAGACGCCGGAATAAAGCCTAAGTTTAAAATTTGGTGTTTTTCTGTGTATCGGTTCATGAGTTATGCGACCTACAGACACACACACACACACACACACACACACACACACACACACACACACACGCACACACACGCACACACACACACACACACACACACACACACACACACACACACACACACACACACACACACACACACACACACACACACACACACACACACACACACACACACACACACACACACACACACACACACACACACACACACACACACACACACACACACACACACACACACACACACACACACACACACACACACACACACACACACACACACACACACACACACACACACACACACACACACACACACACACACACACACACACACACACACACACACACACACACACACACACACACACACACACACACACACACACACACACACACACACACACACACACACACACACACACACACACACACACACACACACACACACACACACACACACACACACACACACACACACACACACACACACACACACACACACACACACACACACACACACACACACACACACACACACACACACACACACACACACACACACACACACACACACACACACACACACACACACACACACACACACACACACACACACACACACACACACACACACACACACACACACACACACACACACACACACACACACATCATCGCGAAAATAGTCAAAACGGATTCAGGGGACCTCAAAACGTAAAAATCCGTCGAAAACTCGAGGTCGAAAAAAATCATGATTCCTATACTTTCCTTATATCTGTATACAGATAGGAAAGTAAAAAGGATCGTTATTTATATTTTCATTTTTGTTCGAAAGAAAACAGAATGAATGATTAAAACTGGTTTCCCAAGTCACAAAATTGCATTTCAGCCACATATAATACTTTTTTTTTCTCTCCTGGGCTCGTCTGACTATGTGTCTCCGAATAACACTGAAGCCTATTGGCTTATTGTGTTTTACCCCATATAATAATTAATGAAAGGCAGAATTAAATCTTGAAATCTAGTGCTTGCTGAATGAACATTTAAGAATAAAGGGATATTAAAGAACATCGTAAAATGATAATTTATTGTTTATTTAAAACCTTTCAAGTTTGTGATATCTACTATTTCCAGCAACTCCGGTTGCTTATTGTATTTTTTTACCTACTTTTTCGAAAGAAAGTAAAATGTATACGTGTATTTGATATGCCAAAATTACAAAATACCTATCGCCCTAAAATGCACGAATTATCCGCAGCTAGCGCACACGGAGCGAATAGGTGATCCTCTTTTGATTTGGACATATTTTGAAAACCCATTATTGAGTTCAAAAATTGCCCCTATTATTAAAAAAATAGATAAATCACATATTTCAGAATATAATCAGCTATACAAAAACTAAAATTATTGTAGCAGGTATCCTCATTACAATATTCTAAACAACAGTTCATCGTTGTCTTGGAAACAACAAATATAAACAGTGCTATTCTTAATGCCTAAATCTGAAAACTTCCACACAACAAGACAACCAAAAATTTGCATAAAATGGACCTATCAAAAGAAAATGCCCCTGACGATAGCCAAACACATAACGAAGAGGATATAGACTGTTTCTGTAAGTATTGAAATATTAAACATTACTAGATAAATTTGTAGTTATTATTGCTTTAAAATAATGGAATATTTTAAGGTCATGTATTATTTATTGTATCCTAGGCGACAGGCTGTTGAACTTGAATATCGATCCAACAAAAAATATTATATAGTTTACATAAAATATTAATATGTTATTTTTATCTTCACTTTAAATAGCCATCAATATAAAATTCATACGTTACATTAAAGTACTTAGGTAATATGCGTCAGTATCCATAAGGCAAAGACTTTATTAAAATAGGTACTTCTCTTTATTAAGAAATTTACATATATGTTTGTGTTACAATAAATTTTGAAACAATAACTAAAACAAATTTTGTAAACCTTTCTACACTCTTCACACAGTAGTCTGTGAAGAGTATTATCCGTCCGTCCGTCCTTTCGTCCTTCCGTCCGGACGTCAGGAAAATCAAGCTCTATAAGGGAACGAAACCTATTGATTTTGAAAAAATCTGATTAAATGTGTAGGGGTTAAAGAGGGTTGAAATTTAAAAAAAAAATCGTAAATCAAAAACGAAAAGCGATATCAACATGAAATTTTTAGTAAAAATTAAGCTCTATAAGAAGATGAAACCTATTTATTCTGAAAAAATCTGAATTAAAATGGGGGGTTTAGGAGGGTTGGTATATTAAAAAATTCTAACCCAAAAACGAATAAAGATCAACTTGAAATTTTTAGCAAAAATCAAACTATAAGGGGACAAAGTTTATTGATTTTAAAAAATTTGTGAACAAAATGGGGGGTTAAGGGAGTTGAAGTGTTGAAAAAAATTTTAACTAAAATCAAGCTCTACAAGAGAATGAAGCCTATTAATTCTGAAAAAAAATCTAAATAAAAATAGGGGCATAAGGGGGGGTTGAAATATTGAAAAAATCCTAACTCCGAAACAAAAAACAATATCAAATTGAAATCTTGAGAAAAAATCAAGCTTTATGAGGGGATGAAGACTATTGATTCTGAAAAAATCTGAATAAAAATGAAGGGTTAAGGGGGGTTAAAATAACTTAAATTTTTTTAGCAAAAATCAAGCTCTATAAGGAGACAAAAAAAATTGTGAACAAATGGGGGGGATTAAGTGAGGCTGAAATACAAAAAATAAAAATCAAACACCAAAAACGATATCAACATGAAATTTTTAGTAAAAATCAAGCTGTATAAGGGAATAAAGCCTATTGATTCTGAAAAAATATGAATCAAAATTGAGAGATAAGGGAGGTCAAAATATTGAAAAAATCCCAACTTAGATATAAAAAAACGATATCAAATTGAAATCTTCAGGAAAAGGGGATGAATCGTATTGAAGATGGAAGTTAAGGGATCTGTTAAAATATAGGTCTGTTCGGGTTCTTCAAAAATACTGTGATGTTTATTTATTTTTAACAACAGTTTAATAATTAATAATTTATTTAAACATTTATTTATAACAATACTATTCTAATTTATATATATTTCGAATGTCTTTAAACTGTTCACTATTTATCTTCACTGTCCATATATCTAATGACCTTTTGTTGATCCTCAATATTTATATACAAATTGGTGATTCCAGAATGCTCCTTCAATAAAACATATCATATTCGGAATATACCAGAAACATTATCACGGAATTATCAGGAATGTTCGCGAAAGTGCTTCCGCCATAGTCGTCACATATGTTTGGTCTTAAGGGGTTTAATTATGAATGATAAACGGACAAGTTGAGCCTCAAAGGCCAAATAAGACAAAGAGGGACTTGGAGGATTAGAACATGACTGAATAATAGAAATGGCTCACGATAAAAAATCAGTTACTGGCACCAGTATTATGCGCAGTAGATAATTTGGCGGTTCCAATAATCTAATGAGCAGAATTCTGGTGTCAGAGTGACTATTTACAGATTGTTGTTGGAACAGACCTTAATTTGTATGAGGCAAAGGATGTGTATTTCATTTTCCTGTTTGGGAGCTGACCGCTATAGGCATTCCTGGATCTTCAGCCTAATTGGAGGGATTAAGGGTAGAGGTATGAGGGGATGGTGTTGAAGGAATGGTGGTAGGTATCTGAGAGGATGTTACTGGCCCAGAATTTGTCTATTGTTATGAGTAAACCTCTGAACAAACTTAAGGCAGGCTAGTCTGCAGTGAGACTTGAACCCACGACCTCCCGAATGTGAGGCAGATGCGTTACCGCAAAGCCACCTCGCTCACTAATATGTATATACAAGATATTATATTTTATGCGTCACACCACTACGAAGTTATATCGATATGTAACACATCCTGAACACACCAAAATGTTCGTATTATACACATCTAGGAGCGTCAGAGGTATGTCGAACTGGGTGGACAATAGCTCGTTTAACTCAAAATTTACCTAATTGTGTCTCGGTGGTCCAATTGGTAAAGGTGCCAACTACCGACTACTCAAGTTGAAGATTCCAGGTTTGATCCCTGGCCAATGTACTTATTTTTCTTTTCATTATTTATCAGCTTTTTCAATTATTCTTTAATTTGTTTAAACTTTGGGGATGTGGAGATTCATTTCTTAATTTCGTAGGAGAAATTATGGTGATTATATTTTCACATTTACAAAAACTGCATTTACATAACTAGTAATTAAATTAATTATTTATTTAATGTGAAATTTGGACACAACAGTGACCTAACACATCTCAATGTTTCATTCAAGAATACGGTGTATGATTTTATTAATAGTTTTAGAAGACATTTTTTGAAATAGAGTACTAGAAGTAAAAGCGCTGTGCAATAAAAAGGACCTACATTGTAATCAAATACGTATCAATTCAATTACAGAACACTAAACTCAATGATAAATTTGGATTTAAAAAACCTACATTGCAATCAAATACGTATCAATTGAATCTTAGAATACTGAACTCAATGTAAAATTGGGATTTAAAAGGACCTACATTGCAATCAAACACGAAATCAGTCACAGAACACTGAACTCAATATAAAATTGGGGTTTGTGTGTCATCTTCATCAAGCAACCCATTTGTTTAGAATACCTAGTTGCGTTATTTGTATAGCACTTTTGACTTTCCTGAACTCCCGATTCTCTTGGTATAAGCTCCATTATTCAAATAGATATATTCTTGTGCCCATGTTCTCAATATACAGCAGCTAAAAAATTGTGTATCACACAGTACTGCGAAATTAAAAAAAAAAACTAACTACACGCAGTATAGGTAATTATTGTTTTTTTTTTTTAGTTCTCCAACCGTCTTCCTCTCCTTACAATATTACAGAAAAAGTTCAACAAGCAAACATGGATCTATTTTCTTCCAGTACTCACGCGCTCAACGAAAAAACACCTAAAGTGAAATTTAAAGATGATTTATTTTCATTTGAACCAGACCTGACTGATGAAGATGTAAACAGCATAGAAAGTGATCATGTAGTAGAGCCAGATAATTTGACCCTATGCGAGTATAAAACCGTTAATATATCGCAAATCGAAGAAACGACAGAAGATTTAGAAGAAGAAATCGATGACGAAGAAATCATCGAAAGCATTAACACCGATTATAACGACATAGAAACGTATTTAATAAACAAGGTTATAGAACATAAAATAAAGGACGAAAAAATTGAAGAAATTAAGTCTGAAAGTAGTACTAGAAGTGCGAATAGGAAAGGCAAGAAAAAACACGGAAAAACCGTTCATAACGTGAAAGAAGTGCATTGCAAAGATCACTGTATTGACAAGTTAGATTTCGATCTTCCCATGTTTATAAAGAAATTGGAAATTCACGAAAAACCGCTCAACTTGCCACCACTTCAGTTGTTACAAAGGAAATGTTGCGATGAACTCAAACAAAAAGTGAGAAGAAATCTTCCAAACTACAACGGATTAAGATCCGAATACGGCCTAACTTCTCGGCAAATTGATATCAAACTTAAACAAAAAGAACAATTAAAACTGAAAGAAGAGAACCACAGAAGGATACTGGAAGAGTACAGAAAAAGAAAAACCCAACAAAATGAAGAAGTGTTCTGTCAGTGGTTGAAAGAGATATCAAAACGACGACAGGAGAGGGAGAAAGCAAAACAGGGGAAATACAGAAATCTGCCGTACAGTCTGAGTATTACCAGTCTTTCAAATAAGACTGTAAGAAGAATTAAAGAAAGGCCTAAAACTGCAAACGAAATTGTTTCTAAGAATCAGATTAAAAAGGCTCGAAGACCTCATACGTCTACCTGCGTGTTCATTGAAGTTCCTCAAAATTTACTTCAGAAGGGGATTAACATCAAGGATTTACTTGTTACCAATTCGAAAACGATGTCTAATAAGTTGCATATTTTGACACTTTCGTAAAAAAATCACTTTTACCATTAATTTGGTTCCAGCAAGCTTTTCAAAGCAGAATTTAGCCAATTTCTTCTGCGCATAATTCAAATGATCACATTATTCCGTGGAACAAAGGAAAGGGCTGATAAAAAAATAATGGTGGTTGATTGTTTTGATTATTTGATAGTATGTAGTGCATATTTTAATACATTTTTATTATATCAAGACTTAGTTTCATTCTTTAATTTATAGTGTGATATTTTAGTCAAACAGACAAAGGGACAAGTTATTTTGTAGTTATACTTTTTTCAGTATAGGAAAAAGCAACAAAAACTTCAACTATACTCTACAAGACGAGTATACGTGCAATATCGAGAATATAAATCGCTAATCGATTATTTTTAGTATTTGGGAGCCTTTGTTAAATTACTGAGGCCCCTACCCCACCTATGCGGCCTCAGTATCTATTTCATTCCTGAAGAAGAAAACATTACTTACTCCCATTTTATAACACTTTTCCGGTCATTCTAAATCCGAAATCGCCAAAAGACTTTCGTCTATACATCATTGCGTATGTGCGCCGACACTATAAATCTGAGAACGGAAGCACTGATTGACTTTTATTTTCTATTATAATTTCTTTACAGTGAAAACCCTATTGATTTTCAGAATTTTTGGTTTAACTTTAATGTTTTAAAGGTAAAGCAATTTTTTTCTTATTTCTTTGTAACGTGATACTTGATATTTTATCTATTTGTTATAGTGTGTTTAAGCTCTATTGATTTTGGGCGTGGGTCAGGTTATTAAATAACTCGAATTACTTTGAAAAAGAAGTTGGGCACCACTATATTTAAAACTTACTATACTTGACTTTATATTAGTGATAAAAATATAGAAAATCACTAACAAATTATATTTAAACCAAGTTTTAGATAAGGCAGCAGCAAATTCTAATTCACATAGTTTTACTTAATTCAAATTTAAGATGATTTATTTAAAAGCACACTTATCTTTGTACAGGAGGTAGTAATAGAAGGAATGTGATATTTATGGTATGCTTCAGGACTTCTTTAAAGGGATTCGGGATCCTTATTCTTAATTCTGGACTTGAACGATATAGTTGAACCAAACCACGGTCTTCAGATTGCACCAATGTCTTAGGTATAAAAACCATACAACTTCTAGATATAAATATCCATAAACTTCTTGATATAGATCCAAATAAACCGTTTAGATACAAATATCCATAAACTGTCTAGGTATAAATCGAAATAAACCGTCTAGATATAGCCAATGCTTATAAAATCAGACGGAATATACGAATATTAAAAATCAATTAGTACATCGGATGTCCAAGATAATTTAAAATTTAAAATCAACTTGATTCGTTGACAGATTCAAATCAAATGAAATACGAACTTTTGACACAAGGCATAAACGACAAATGGCATTTGAGTAGAGATGATAACGAGTAACGGTTCCAATTTATTTTATGAACTGCAACAATGGTACTGATTTCACTAAATCTTACTTGTCAACTGCAAAACCATTGATAGTTTTTCTATTTTGATATCACTCAAATAAATGATTTTAAATTTTTTGAACGTCCATTAAAATATTTTTTTGAGTAGTTATGTATTGTAAGTGAAAGTGACATGTGAAATCATAATTTTAAGATATTAAATAAATGTGGATGTTAAACGAATAACATACAGGATGATGAAGTAACAATAATTTTTACAGGACCTTTAACAAAGTCTAAAATGGAACTCTTATCTTAATTTGATATTAGGATCTAAAAGGTTAAGAGCTCAAATATTTTTAATTGTGCAAGCTAAAGGGGCAAAGAACCCAAAAAGTTTTATACAAGCCCAAGACTAAATATTTTTGCATGAACTGGCGTACAGTGTAAAGGGACCAAATATTTTCACTAAGAAATACTTTAAGATATTTTTACATGGGTAAACTTAAGGAGTGAAGAGTCCAAATGTTTTTACATGACAGGCTTAAGAGATAAATAGCTCAGAGATAAGAAATAAAGGTACCAAATATTTTTACCAAAGGTATAAATAGGCCAAATAATATTACATAGACAAGCGTAAGGGTTAAATATCACGACTATTGTCAGACTGACTAGAAAAAATCATGATTCCTTTACTTTCCTTATCGCTATACAGACAGGAAAGTAAGAAGAATATTATATCGAGTGTGGCATTGGCCCGATGGTCTACCTGTCCGTAGACCGGTAGGCTGTCCAGACAGTGGCCCTCGTCCAAGCAGTGGGCCCTCCTCCAGGCAGTGGGGGGCCGCGAGAAAAACAAATAAGCAAATACGAAATTACGACTCTGCTCTGATGATACCCAAGCAGAAACTGAGACAGAACTAAATATAGAACATGCCCGAAGAATTCTGTGAATTTTGTGATTATTTCGTTTACACCATGGAGGAAGGTTTACACAGAGTGTCCACAAACACTCCAAAGTGTTCTGTGAAACACTCGTCACAAATTCTAGAGCTCATTGGATATTGGATATTTTTATTGATAACTTTTGTCTTCTCAAACGAGCCGCTTAGGACTACAATCTAAAAATGGTATTCAGGCCATACGATTGAGCATATTCTACGAAATAAATGTACAGAATGTTATCACTTAAAAGAAAATCGTTTCGAAGGTGATATGGCGACATCAACAAAAAACTTAAGCATTTTTGGATAAAGGGATTCACGTTAAATAGACATAAAATTTGCAGTTTTTTGTGAAGACTGTATATACAATACAATACAATTATAAGTTCACATAAGTTTTATTTTTTTGTATTATAAGAAAAATGTTCCTTTAAATGTTAATAAAAATGTTACTTATTTATTGTTAAGTTTCAAAGATATGCACTAACCGCTACTAAAAAATTCCTTGTGAATGTTAATAAAAACTTGTATTTTACCTACGTGTGTATAATGGGAATATTATCTATAATATAATTTAAACAGAGTTTGTGGAGAGCAATATTTTTCGCGAGAACATTAAAAAAATATATTGTATTGATAGGTGAGCCCTTCTCACTCCTGAACCGGTAGGACCTAGAGGTCCCAATCCGACACTGTACCTATCAATCGATTATGATTAGTCTGTGGCCTCTGGTATTTTTTTCCTGAAGAAGAGAGAAGCTCCTTCGATTTTTATTTCGACAAAAAAATTTCCCTAAAGTTTATAAACTTCATGTCATTTTTTAAACTTTTATAACAATAATAAAGACTAAAAAAGATAAAGAGTTAAAGTTCATGTATTACTTATATAAGTACTTATTTGTTACAATTTTGTAAACAGTTATTTTATAATATATTTTGTTGTTTCATTTATTTCACACACTTCAAAAAAATATTGTTTTTATATTTATATTTACTTGATCATAATTACTAATCTACTAAATGCTGCGACTCGCTAGCAATTGCAACACGCAACACTACAACTACAACAACTTATCAATAATAATTAGTCTAAATAAAAAAATAATTACAGCTCAAGATTCTTTTAGAACTGTTTAACTGTTATTACCCACTACCTTTCCAGGGTATCCTCCTACTTGCGTACGTCCCATTTGCGTACACGGTTAATTTTGTCCCACTTGCGTACACCGTGAGGTCATGCCTTGTGGCAGGTAAAAATATTATGATGCATAGTCCAACTAGAAGTGAAAGTTCATAAAGAAAATGCCAAAAAGCCACGAGAAACTGATCAGGACATTCCAAACATTTACTGTGAAGAAATGAGGCCACTTTTTGATCGTGGAATTGACATTGGGGTCTATTCTGTAACAATTCCTTTATATTTAACGGCCTTTAAAAATATTTTCTTCTTTACTTCTGTCATTATTTAAACGGATTTTTAAAATACATTAGAGGACTATCTTAAAGAAATCTGTTTAAATAATGACATAAGTAAATTAACGAATATAAATATACTTTTAAAGGCCGCCAATATTTTTAAAGGCCGCTAAATATAAAGGAATTGTTACAGAATAGACCTCTTTGTCTGCGTTATTCCAATGTTGTCTTCAGTAAAGACCACTTTATATCGACACAGACAAAAGGCAAACGGACTGTCGAAAGAGCCAAAATGTGCATCGGATGTCGAAATACCTGAAAGGCCTTTTCTTTTGAACGATGGATCTTCCTTCCTGGTCGCTGATGATGGTTACGAAGACAGAATTTTAATATTTTCGTCATCGATTGGGAAGGAGATTATATCAAACCAGAATACTTTCTTTATGGACGGCACTTTTAAGTGTTGCAGTAAACAGTTTACTCAACTTTATACAATACATGCGGACATTGGAAGCAATACAGACGAGCGAAACATAATTCCTGTAGTTTATGCACTACTCAAGAACAAAACTCGCTCTACATATGAGAGATTATTTACGATAATAAAAAGATCCACAAACTGGAAACCAACATTAGTGACTGTAGACTTCGAGGAAGCAGTGATTATAGCTATAAGGAATGTGTTTCCTAACGTTGCAATAAATGGCTGTCATTTCCACTACAATCAATGTATATGGCGAAAAGTACAACAGTTGGGCCTAGTTGTAGAATACCGGCACGATGATGAACTGCGACTACATATTCGTATGTGTGCTGCTTTAGCGGATATTCCACTTGAAGATTTGGATATCTGTTGGCTAACCATTCAAGGAAATTCACCCGTTAACGAAAAACTTCAAAAGGTCTACGATTATTTCGTGGATCAGTGGCTAGAAAATCATTACGCCAGATATGTGGAACTGCAGCAACAATCTCTATCGTACAAATAACGTCGTGGAGGGATGGAACAACAAGTTACATCATCTGGTCAAAAGAAACCATCCGCCTGTCTTACAGTTGATGAAACACTTAAAAGAAGAAGCAGAAAATAGTGATTTTCTTTATAAACGAAAAGAATTGAAATTGGAGGAAAAAATAAGAAAAACAAAACACGTCAATTTGGACATTAGAATTAATAAAATAATAGCGGCATATACAGAAACAAAAGACGTTAAAAAATGCCTAACTTCTCTAGCTTACGTCGCTAAGTTAGAGTAACCGACTGTATGGCTCTGTATTTTGTAAATATTCTGTAAATACCATTATTTTTGTAAATTCTTAAAAAACAAAAAAAAACTCAAAAATATAAAAACAAAAAAAACTTTTAAACACGCCAGCAAATCGGTGCCAGTCCTAAGCCTGGAAAAAGTGTGAAGGAAAGTTTTAAAATTAAATTAAGTATAAGTATATCGCCTAGTGAGAACATTGTGACCTAACTCCGAAAATGGTGATCTGAGATAATCGCGATTGAAGTTTGTACGAAAAATATTTTTTTTGTCTATACGTTTGGAACTATCACACCGATATTTTTTCTCTAAATTTTAAATATCTTTAAGTCATAATGTATCAAGTTTTTTTTTAAGTAAATGAATATTAACGATGTTACCTTTGGCAGCATTGAGTTCGAAGGTAAAAATAAAAATACCAGACATTACTGACAACTACCGCCACCGAGCGGACATTAGTAGAACTAGTTATGTACCAGTTGCAGGCTACATTAAGCAATCTGTTGAAGTACATAGGTCGAAAACGAGTATTTTTGAGTTACGTCACTAATGTTCTCACTAAACGATATGTACGCAAGTAGGACTATATATCGTAATACTTCTACCTGACTCAAGAGATGATCTAACCCGTGTACGCAAATGTGACAAAATTGACCGTGTACGCAAATGGAACGTACGCAAATAGCACTATATCCCTTTCCAGTACCTTCCTTCTTCTTGCAGATAATTGGTGCTTATTTTTTTTTCTATTGATTTCTTCATTTTTATTGTATTTTGTGTCATGTTGTAGACTATAGGGAACAAAAAACTTTGGTTAATTATTACTATTAACCAAAAAACGTTAGTAGTTATTTTTGGGTATTTTTAAAATAAAAATGTTGCTTAATTGGGAAGGAAGAAATTGGAATAGTAATAAGTGCTTGGTGCTTGGTAATTTATTTGAGTAAAAATGCTTGCAGGCACTTACAAGTAATCGACAATGATTTCAAAAACATTTTGAGTAAATGGTGTTTGGTAATTGAATTGTGCAATTACTTTCGTCGGTATATATAACTTCCAAAGTGCTTGGTTCTGGGTGTTTTTTCGAGTACTTTGCCCAACTCTGTTCTCATCGTTCAAAATCAAATCGTTTCTCGTTTCTTTTATGCTACGAGTTTGCCGTGGGAGCTTCAATCTCAATAAGGTGGGAACCAATAATTTAGCATCTCTCGAATTTTTTAGTTTTTTAGTTTTATGGTGGGCAAAAAAAAATCAAAAAATATTTGACAAATATATTACATACGGAATTTTAAGTCAATAATTCGCTATAACAATTATTTTTATACAAAAATAAATTAAATAAAAAACTAAAAAAAAAAATAAATAGTACATTCGAGTTTATATATTTTTAAATTTTTGGGATGGGATTAAATAAGATTTATACCATTAATTATTTTTTTAAATTTCACACCTTTACCGTAACTATACCGACAAACTTTTAGGGTTAGAAGGGGACATCAAAATAAACATTTTAAGGGGGCGCAACCGGAGGTGAAAGTTTGTATGAGAGTATCAGTTTTTTGAAGGTAGAAACTTGGAAATTGGAATTTTAGCTACTAATTGAATAAATAAAGAATAAATAAATACTAACGTATTTCAGGGTTTTAGATTTTTACATTTTAAGAGAGAGAAATGAGGGGTGAAATTTTCTATGAGAGTATCGATTTTTTTAAAAGTAGTACCTTGAAAATTGGAATAGCTACTCATCATAAGTAAATATTTCAGGGTTTTTGGATTTTCACATTTAGAGGGGGAGGGGGAAATGGGGGAGTGAAAGTGTGTATAAGAGCATCGTAAAAATAAATAAAAATAAATAAAAATAAATAAAAATAAATAAAAATAAATAAAAATAAATAAAAATAAATAAAAATAAATAAAAATAAATAAAAATAAATAAAAATGAATAAAAATAAATAAAAATGAATAAAAATAAATAAAAATAAATAAAAATAAATAAAAATAAATAAAAATAAATAAAAATAAATAAAAATAAATAAAAATAAATAAAAATAAATAAAAATAAATAAAAATAAATAAAAATAAATAAAAATAAATAAAAATAAATAAAAATAAATAAAAATAAATAAAAATAAATAAAAATAAATAAAAATAAATAAAAATAAATAAAAATAAATAAAAATAAATAAAAATAAATAAAAATAAAAATAAATAAAAATAAATAAAAATAAATAAAAATAAATAAAAATAAATAAAAATAAATAAAAATAAATAAAAATAAATAAAAATAAATAAAAATAAATAAAAATAAATAAAAATAAATAAAAATAAATAAAAATAAATAAAAATAAATAAAAATAAATAAAAATAAATAAAAATAAATAAAAATAAATAAAAATAAATAAAAATAAATAAAAATAAATTAAAATAAATTAAAATAAATAAAAATAAATAAAAATAAATAAAAATAAATAAAAATAAATAAAAATAAATAAAAATAAATAAAAATAAATAAAAATAAATAAAAATAAATAAAAATAAATAAAAATAAATAAAAATAAATAAAAATAAATAAAAATAAATAAAAATAAATAAAAATAAATAAAAATAAATATAAATAAATAAAAATAAATAAAAATAAATAAAAATAAATAAAAATAAATAAAAATAAATAAAAATAAATAAAAATAAATAAAAATAAATAAAAATAAATAAAAATAAATAAAAATAAAAATAGGGTGGCTCAGTGGTAGAGTCTCTGCCTGCGGATCCAAGGGTCCCAGGTTCGAATCCGACCGTTGGCCGGGATTTTTCATTTAATTTAATTATTTAAAATTAATTCTGATGCCTTGGTAGGATTCTCAAGTCTCCACTCGACCATTCACTGTTGGGTACTAATTAACAGTGCTGTTCCCAAAGTGGCGCTGGGAAACAGTAACAAAGCCTACACCGAACACGAGGCTAATAACCGTAGCAGGTGATGCCGACGACACAAAAAAATAAAATAATAAAAATAAATATAAATTTGAAACAAACTCTTGTGGCTAAGACAGGCTATAATACTTCTGGGTGAATATAATCAGAAAAGATCGGAAGCCTGCATCTATCTGAGCAAGAGCAATGTATTGTAACAGGGATCCCTACTGGGCACTACCGACTAAAATGACACCTTAGTAAACTGAGAGTATTAGAAGATAGTACCGATTCTGTGAGGAGGAGGACGAAACCTCCATTCACATTCTGACTGAATGTGTAGCACTCCAGAATTCAAGGGCAATATACCTAGGAGCATATCAAATAGAAGAGAGAGATTTACCTATCTTGCTGCATTAGCGACAGAAGGGGACACAATTAGACATTCCAACGACCTGTCAAAATGCTGCCAGTCGGAACTGACAGTTTAGAAATGGCAACCCTGTGTGCCTGTTGCCATTGATACATATATATCTATATAAGCCCGGGGTAACAGCTAGTATTGAATAAAAACCTTTTTTCTAATTTTAACCCTGTAACTCGGAAAACAGGTGTTTTTCGAAAAGTTTATTTATTAGTCAGAAATGTATATTTTGATGTCCCCCAACCCTAAAAGTTTTTCGATATGACCATTGACCATAGCAATCATGAAGAATGATTTTACAAGTCAAGCATAGATTTAAAAATCATGAATGGATATTCTAGATTATTTTTTTATAATTATATATTATTTTTAATCTAATCGTCTAGTAAGATTAGGACAATTACTTTCTCTCGCATCCTGTATAGTTATAATTTTCTTTCTGTTAAATAGGTGTGAAATTTAATCATCTGTTCATCCTCGTGACGTTAAGCGTATGTTTTTCATAGTTTGTTTTTGTTATTAAAAAACGAAATAAATAATAAAACATTAACTTTGGTTTTGTACAAATCACAAGATTACTAAATAAACTTAAGAAAAAAACAACATATTAAAAAAAAGATAAGTTTTTCGGCTTCGTCATAAATAATTGTGGTTTAAAAAACACACAAACTTTTTTTTTTTTTTAATAAAAGTATTAATTTAGGGATTACTAGCACATTTTTCCATATAATACATATCACCCAACAACTGTGTAATCGGAATTTCTCCTATGGTTTCCTTAAAAAATAGCAATTCTACGGTTATCGATCGTATGGCCCTCAAACTAGGAACTAAAAGTAACAATCTGCCAAATCTAGTAGGTTGTCGAGGATATCTCGTCCTTACGTAATCGCCTAGGATACATTGAGCTTGGTCCTGGAGCATTTCCACTGGTTGGACATCACAGAGACCGGCTGTTTCTGGAATAAACAATAATATAATTAGAATACCTAATTATTAAGTGCGTTAAGTTTTTTGCCACTCTAGGAAGGTAAAAACTCAACTGGGTTCGGGCGAAGAAAAAACATTTCAAAAGTATTCATTCTATACAGCAAATTTAATTTTTTTTTGCTGCAAACCGATCATTTTCTGAGAAAAATTGAATCAAAAACTGCAAGATTTTATCATTTTTATAGTAGTGCCAAGAGTTTCAATTAGCAACAAGATACAATAGGTACGTAAATATTATCAAGATGAAAATATTATTTATTTATAGATTTAAAAAATAGGAGAAGAAAAATATATTTATATGGTATTCCAAGCCCAAAATTGAATAGGATTAAAAAATGACAACGTTGCAAACTAATGGAGAAAGACAATCACATGAGTTATTTTCTTTAACGTTTTGTGGAAGAAAATGATGATAAAAGTTAAGTTAAACAGTCAAAATAGTGCATTTTATTATAATAGATATAAATAAAAATAATAAATTAAACATAATTTGCCGTAGGTCTAATTTTTGTTAAAATCCCATAAAAAGTAAATGATTTCAATAATCGTGATAAAACTTCGAAATTCGCACATATGGATTCTTCGCCACAACGCATAATACAGTAATTTATCTAAAACTGTGCAAAAATTTTTAAAATGCATATACAGGGTGTTATTAAATACCATGTACATGCTTATTTCATGACTTAAAAGACATGTGTAAACAAACTGATTTTCAGGAGGTGTTAAAATTTGAATTTTCTTTTTTTTATGCTTCTATAGTTTGCTTATCATAGTTAATTTGTCATCGGCATCAGCTACTATAGTTATTAGCGTGTTAATTGGAACTCAACTGTAAATGGTCGAGTATGGAATCCTACTTATGCGTTAGAAATAATATTTAGTTCATTTTTACCCGACAGGATTTTTTGTTTTTTTTTGGATTTCTTTGTTTTTTTAGAAATTTTTCTAGAAAGGGTTTAAGTTTTTGCTTAAAGACCTTTTTTTTAGAAAATGTGATTTTTTATAAAATTGTCGCGGGGCCCCACCTGGAAAATTTTCCTGGTGCCCCGCCTGTCTCTCGGCGGCCCTGCCTGTGGCGCTTTGTTCTCAAAGTAATGACTCACGTTCATTTAGCAAATTACAGAAAATTCCTTTTTTCTTAATAGCGGTCGCAGATACATAAAAAGTTTCTTAAGAAAACAGGAAATTAATTTTTTAGGGGTGAGATTACAGAACGTCTGCAACTTTGCAGATCTGCAAATATAGCGGCAACTTTGCAGATCTGCAAATATGGCGGACTTACAGATACAAGTATCAAGTTTTCGTATTCCAAAAAATATCTACAAATTCAAAATATTTATTGTTGTTTATTACCCCCAACAACACTAAAATCAAATGCATTACTATGTTTAAAACTCGATAATCTGACCACGAACTGCACTTAATCAAAAGGAACAGAAGACTTCATGGTTATTAAAAAAAAAAAGTAAAGTAAAAATTTACAATCTGCAAATTTGTAGGATGTTCTAAGGACCGATTCCACCGTTGTGTTAAACGAAGTTTAATGGCATTTTTACATTAACAATATTATTTTAATCTACGTTTAACACAACGGTGGAATCGGCCTCAACCTCCTGCAAAGATACAGATGATTTGCAGACGCACAAAGTGAAAACATGTTTTTGTAATACCATATTTCTCTTTTGCAACTGCAACTAATATTTGCAGATGCAAGTACGATTTGCAGAGCTTCTGTAATCTCACCCTAAGTATTTTAGAATATATCAGCGTCGCACCGCAAAATAGTTCTGGAGAAGAAAAAGGCGCAAGATCCCTGAAAAGACATTCTGTAGATTCTTTCATTCATTCGACATGCATGGCCCCCATAGACCCCTCTGAAGCCGCTCTTGCAGCGCAAGCTGAATTGCAAATAGTGATGAGCAAAACAAGACCAAGACCGGGTTGGTCTTGGTCTTGCACACTCGGTCTTGGTCTTGCAAGCCTTCAGCTGGTCTTGGTCTTGGTATTGCACAGCTAGGTCTTGGTTTTGGTCTTGCTGCAAGAGTCTTGCGAGTCTTGCATTTTTTTTATATATCTTAAATACTGCTTCTTTGTACACAAAAAACGTGTTGTTGTTCTGTGAATTATAGTATTTTACAACATTTTCCAGCACCGAAAAGAGTTTTTATGATATCACCTAAGTGTTCTCTATTTGTAGTTAATAATGAAACACCCTGTATAAATTATTGCCATTAGAGGCTTAATGCACATAATAAAATCAGGAACTACCACGCAAACAGTAAATATCTTCTAAATCTTGTGGTTTGTAATTGTAAATAAACCACATATATTTTTTATTCAAACCTTTTTTATCAAACGTTTCCAAAAATATAATTGTTTTGTTTTTAAATATACAGGGTGTTTCCGAACTTGGCGTCCAAATTTGTAGGGGTGGTAGTTCATATAATTTGAGATCGATTCGCAGATTTCATTTTTCCAAAATATTTAAAATTAAAATAATTAAAAATTTTAAACAGGTACGGTCCTGCACAGCGATGGGAATCGCCTCCACTCGCACACGCTAAGGTTGTAAATCCCGATGAGTAACCGATCAGGCGACTGTTGTGCTACACGCTCAGGGTAGGACCCGTTCTTTGATTTTTTTTTATAAAGGCTCTATGTTGTTTATTATAATTAAAAAAAAAAAAAATGAAATCTGCCAATCGCTCTCAAATTATGCGAACTACCACCCCTACAAATTTGGACGCCAAGTTCGGAAACACCCTGTATGTACAGCATGTAAAAAGCTGTAAACAGTTTTAAAAATTAAAATTATAAATGTGTCAATTAGTCATTTTTATATGCTGTACACTTGAATACGAAAAAAGAATGAAAGCTTAATTTTTTTGAAACGTAGTATATAAAAAACGGTAAATAAAATATGTGGCTCAATTGCCAATAATTGGATATTTATTTATTTATTTATATTTAACATATTTTATGTATTCTTTTATTTGAAATATTTTTTTGCATATCCAACAATCCAATAAAAAACAAAAATTGTATCCTTAAATCAACAAAAACTGAGACCGATAATTGAACCTGGATCTTCCAGACATATGGGATTAAAATAAAAAGTATAAATGCATAGCATACTGGCATAAAATACTAGGTCAAAACAACTCAAACATATGGACATTTAAAAAAAAAAACGATTAAAAGTTGTCTATATTAAACAAAAACTATGTATTTTCGTAACACAAAAATTAAAAATTAAAAATAGGCTAAATTATGTAGTGAACAAGTGATAGATTATTTTATTGCTGTTGCCAAGAATTAATGCAAAGAAGCCAACGGACAGATTCACTAATGCTGCTTTTGAAAAAAGTCTTTCGGCAGGAACCGAAGTTGCTGGAATGGACAGAAAATCACGTGCCATTTTCGCTAAGAGAGGAAATTGGAACTGACGACTTTTCCACCATTCTAAAATATCTTCGTTGCTTACTACTCTAGGCTGACTAAGATAATCGTCTATTTCCTTTCTTTGGTTTTGGGAGCCAGATCCAGATACACCAGAGCCGGATGAAGTACCTGGTGCAGAATAGAACTTGTTGAAATCTATAATATCTTCATCGTCATCGTCACTTGATTTGGAGTCGATCTTCTCTTTTGTTAACGATTCTATCACTCTCTCCTGACTACAGTAAGCATCGAATATTGACTCAAATGTCTTTAAGTTTGTACTTTTAACTCAGCTCCCAAACAGTTAAATCGAAAGTTTCTGTTTTATGCCTGGGATCCAGTATTAGAGTGGAGCAGTAAATACAGTTTGTCTTCTGATAATGCTTTATAATTTTATCACGAGCAGCCTGAAAACCAAAAATAAGCTTTTCATCTACTTCAATACGATTAACTGTTACACATTTCTAAAGACACACCCTATATATCGAAAACCAAGGTTTTTTGAGACAAATGTTTATATACTTACCTTTTATTTTCAGGCAACAATTAAAGAACGCAATACAGCAAGAGTCTTGGTCTTGCGTAAGTCTTGCACCACTTGGTCTTGGTCTTGCACACTCGATCTTGGTCTTGCAAGTTTTCAGCTGGTCTTGGTCTTGCAAAAAAGCAAGACGAAGACCAAGACCGCAAGACTAAGACCAGTCTCGCTCATCAATTAGTGATGAGCGAACTAATTCCAAATTTGAACTAAATATATTAAAAACTACTGGAACTATAAAAACAAAAAACAAAAAACAAAAAACAAAAAAAAAACAAAACACCATGTAAATTGGCAACGAAGCGTTTGGGGACCTATGTTTGTATGAGATTTTAGTCATGAAATAAACCAAAGAATTACCCCCTTCCGTATGTATATGATATTTAAAAACACCCTGTATACATTAGATTTTTGTATAGGTCACTGAGTTTTAAATTTAAAAAGGCGATTGTAGATCAAACAAATTATATCAAATATTAAAAAATATACCTGGAGTAAATAGTAAAATGGCTTTCATACATCCACATTCACTGCCATCTGGTGATATTTGTCTAAAACGGCACATAATCTCCTGAAAGAAAAGTTTATCGTTTTTATTAGGAATTTATCGATTTTTTGTTAATACCCTCGAATAGCCGTGTTCGGATATTCAGACTCCTAGTTACTCTTTTGACTTAACACGTACCTAAACCGTTCGCTTATTCTATTTCAAGTAAATTTTACAGGAAAAATCATTGACGTCTATTAGCGATTCAAATTAATTTACGCGCGCCTGTCATTTGTCACATATAAGTAGATTAAATGTTTATTTACGTTTTGAACTGTTTGTAGATATTATTTAAGTTTAATTTCTGTGCTTTTGTTATAAATACGAGTAGATATAATATTTATCATGTGTTTAAGACTAATTTGTTGAAAAACTTCACCTACCTGGATACTAAGGGAAACAGGTAGGTACCTAACGTTTATTATTGATAAATTTAATTTAAAATCTGCATACTACATAAACATCTAGAAATATTTCTTTTCTAAACGCAGGACATCTTTTATTATTGGGTTTAAAGAAAATTTCAGGTATCTAATGTTTATTATTGATAAATTTAATTTAAATTCTAATCTTTATTCTTATTCTTAGATTCTGAAGTGAATATTATGGCACTTTGTAGACATGTAAAACTAAATAAAACTGTCACAATGCAGAATGCAGTTTGATTCTAGACATAAAATGTTCAATATCTCAATAATATGAACATTTGATGTTGACATGCAACCTTTAATACAATGTAGATTGCAATTTGCTGTGGGCTTTTTTGCAAATTTCACTTTCAATATGAACACTATCACGAACTATAAGAAACAAACAAATTTAATACTCACAAATGAGAAAAAATAGAATTTATAATTGATACAAATTAAATTATAAAAAGCGAACACGACAAACAACAATGTTGTCAACTGATGAATTGATTTAAAAAAAAAAAAAAAGATAAATGTACTGAAATTTATAGAAAAAGTCAATATAATTAAATCGGTTTCATAAAAATACTTAAAATAAATTATAGAGTAGATATGGTACATACAAATTTCGCTACTTAAAAAAAATGTCTCCACTGCTAGAAAGTGTAAAAATCCGCTGACGTAGCGGAATTCCGCTACTGTTGGCAACACTGGAAGAAGGCACCTTTTACAAATTTTCTCCAGAAGGCGTACCTATTACTTAGCTTAAATTGCGGATAGCAAAAACATAAATTTTTCCAGAACTATTCTCATAAGGAAATAAAAACAAACTACGCGGCACCTTTCTGTGAAGTGACAAGTGACACTTATAAAAAGTAATAATAAAGCTTAGACTGCTTTACTTGTACGATATTTAAGATTCACGCAGAGGATTGCGACCAAATATCGATCAACCACCATTTTTTTGGTGCCAGAAAAGCTGTGGTGAAAATTGTGCAATTTGAGCTTTTTTTTACGAAAAGTTAATTAGCCTTTTTCAACAACTACGTCAAACGTACGTTTTATTATTATTAGAATAAATAAATATTGTGATAAAAAACATTAAAAAACAAATTGTCATGCCTACAAAACATTGTGCGTTTGCCAATTGTACGTCTGACAGCCGTTACAAGCAAGATGGTGTAAAATTAATGCCTTTTATAAAACCACAAGTTGATAAAAAAAAGTGTTTGGAGTGAATACATTTATCACGACGGGCAGATTTAAAAAGTTGAAAAATAAAAAAACATACTTTTATTTGTACAAGACATTTTATTAATTCAAATGGACCAACAACAGAAAACCCAAATCCATTGCCAGCGACAGTTTCAAAGGTTAGTAATTGTTTATTTAAAGAGGTTATATTTTATATCAGTCTACATATTATCATAATTGATAGTAAATAATAAACTTTTTTTAATTGTGTATTAAATATAAAATTTGTAACGGTTGGAACCGTTATTCGTTATTTCAACACAATCACCTCTACTCAAATGTCATTTGTCGTTTATGTCTTGTGTCAAAAGTTCGTATTTCATTTCATTTGAATTTGTCAACGAATCAAGTTGATTTTAATTTTTAATATATCTTGGCCATTCGATGTACTAAATAATTTTTATCTATCGTAAATTCCGTCTGATTTTATAAGATAAGTTTTAATACTGATATATTGTTGAAAATATATATTTTGTACAAGAATTTCTTAAATAAAATGTCAAATTTTGAACATAACCTCAACAATGGATAACACGTTTTATATAATTTTATGTATTATTTTGTTTGGAATAAGATATTATGCTTTACTATGTTAAAATTTGTTAAATAAGATTTTTCCTTCTCATATTAATTTTAGTCTCTGTGAAATTATTCATTTAATAGTTTTAAATTGTCCATTTAATCGTTAAAGCATTTTATCTAAATCCTGTTCAAATTTCCTATTTCCTTTCTTAACATTTTTACCTTTTCTTTTTAGCATGGCTATATCTAGACGGTTTATTTGGATCTATATCTGGACAGTTTATGTGAATTTATATCTAGAAGTTATATGGTTTTTACACCTAGAAGTTTGGTACAATCTGAAGACCGTGGTTTGGTTCATCTTTAGAAGATCTACACGTTTCGAGTTGTTAGAATACCAAATTTCACGATATCATTCAAGTCCAGAATTAAGAATAAGGACACCGAATCCCTTTGAAGTTGCCTGAAGAATACCATGCGATAAACATTCCTTATATTACTACCTCCTGTTAACAAAAGATAAGTGCTTTCAAATAAATCATCTTAAATTTGAATTTAGTAAAACTATGTGAATTAGAATTTGCTACTACCTTATCTAAAACTTGGTTTAAATATAATTTGATAGTGGTTAGTGATTTTCTATATTTTTATTACTAATCTAAAGTCAAGTATAGTAAGTTTTAAATATAGTGGTGCCCAACTTCTTTTTTAAAGTTATTCGAGTTATTTAATAACCTAATCCACGCACAATCAATTGAGCTTAAACACATTATAACAAATAGATAAAATATCAAGTATCACGTTACAAATTTTGTGGTTTTAATTATCAAACGATTTTTTAGATTCCCAAAGACCGTAAAAGACAGCAACGATGTATTGAAGAGGACTCATAAGTACTGGAAAAAATAAAAGTCCAAAACTTATCTGTTCTACTGTTACTGATGTTGAATCAGTAAACTGGACAAATTAGTAGATAATAAAAATGCTAATAGTAATCAAGAATCCCAATTAAATAATGATTTAGCCTTTGATGTTGCACTTTTGCAAATTTCAATTTCGCTCCAGGTACATCATCTTCCGTTAATTCCATTACAAATGTATACGTCATTACAAATGTATACGTTTGACGTTGTTGTCATTAGAGAATTCAAAACATATGTACCCCCCACCGGTGCTGCCCCTAGCGGATCTTTTCTAAATCTTCGCAGGAAAAGGGCTTATTAGAGACCGTGTTATTATAAAATTATTAAAATAGTTATGCTTATGGCTCTAAACGCCGAAGTGAAAAAAGAAAGAAAAAATTACATTTCATTGATAAAATAAATTAAATGACTGTAAAACGAGAAATAAATCCTGTTTGATCGTAATCTTGATCTAGTAAATAATTTATCAAAATTTTATGGTAGAGTTAATATTTCATTAAAACTTTGAAATCTAGTAAAGCTTACTGTCAGTGGTGTTACACGTAATAACTAATTATAAGAGTTTTGCATTAGGTACGTAATTTCGTGAGGTTACAAATGCATTTAAAATGTCAAAAGATATTTACATCTGGAATATACCATAGTTGGCAATTTAATTTGGACAACATGTAGTTTCAGCAGGACTGTGCAACATGCCACACATTCACTAACACATTGGATTTGATGAGAAGTATAATCTTCATAAACGGTGATGTTAATTGGTCAACAAGATCATGCGATTTGACACCGTTCGACTTCTTCCTTTGGGGCCAAATGGAAAGCCAGGTCTACAAAGACAATCCACAAACGATTCCTTATTTAAAAGCCGAAATAGTGGAAATTATTGGTGAGATAGAGCCACATTTATGTATAAACGTGATACAAAAATTTGATACAAGAGTGGCTATTTGTAAGGCCATATATCAGATAATCTTTTTAAACATTAACTTTCATTTTCAATAAAAATTTGAATAATGACGGTCGATTTTCGTGTTTTATTAATCAATACAAAATTGCGTCCCTAATAGAAAACCCTATATAATAATAGTTCATATAAAATGGATTTTATCTATTTTTACTGAATTTATTTATTTTTAATATTACATGTTTCTTGTAGACTTCGTCCGAAATATCCAGAAAGAAATAAGTGTTTGTGTGTTATTAAAACAGAGATATTGTTCATTTAATTAATTGCTGGTTACGTCTATGGCATAGCTTAGACAGATACAGTACGTTAACCGACGCATCAGGCAAAATAAAGATGAGACGCCTAATTATATTTGGACGCGAGACGTTAAAGAGAGTAATTGGTTTAACCACGCCCTTTCGATGACAAGCATGAGATATTGCTCCATACTCGGCGCCGCGACGTGTTATTCTATTTATCTTTATTCAATAGCATTGTGTTTCTACATCGTTCTCCTGAAGCCAGGATTGAAAATGTATGATATTGTATACGTTTAAAATCTGGGGTCAAACGGTCGTATATTAAAGTTTAGAGTTGCGCGCCTCTTCTCTTTCCTAGTCTAAAAGTAACTCTCTGATCCGATTGAATATCCGAACACGGTAGTGCATTATTCGTTGTGAAATGTGTCAATTGTCAAAATAATATTTCTACCAGGGTGGTTCAATAGTTTCTTTAGGTTGTAATATCCTATATATAAATAAATACCATATTTACCTGAATGGTTTTGATTTCAGTGGCAGTATGCAGATCGGTTGGTAATCTTTCTCTAGCTTGCGGGCATCCTAGTAACGCAGAAAGATCCCACGGCACAGACCATTGAGCTAAGTGTAACAAAAATAGTTCCTTCCACGATTCTTGTAATAATAACAGTTGATCGTGTTTACTAAGAGTTTGGAATGGTGCCAGACATCTCACCCATCGGACAGCCATGAATAGAAGCCTAGCGGTGGTTTCCTGAAATAGAAAATTAAACCAAAGAATGAGAAATGATCGTCGAATACAAGGTGTCCATTTATAACAACTTTTAACTCGAGAACGGAAAAAGATATCGACATGCAGTTTACACTAGACTTCATAAATGTACTCAAAGTTATGGTTGACATTGTTGCTACATTTATTTTTTTTCTGAAAAGTGTCGAAAAAAAATTGTGAGTTTACTTTAAATAAAACACCCATTACATTTTAACATTCTCGCAAAAATCATTTCCTTTTTAAAAATGTATGCCTACATTGTCGACATTCACTCAATTTTTAGGAAAACATTTATTTTTTTATGAAACCATATCAAGAACATGTAGTGAACAAAATGGACAGCAATGCACTTAAGAGGGGGTTTTAGGGGTTCCAACCTGCTGAACATGTTACCGTTTTAGTAGTATATTGTTCTAAAAAAGGAAGTGACTTCGAATTACACACTCTAAAAGATTTTTTTTTCTTATTTTGCCACAATCAACAATTAATTTATTAATGTATTAGTACATAGGTACATATTTTTGGTATATATTTAATAAAAAACTTCAGATAAAGGGTGGGACATCACATGCTCATCCCCTTTGTCTTTATTAGTATTTATTATTCTGAAATTTTCATTCTCGAGTTATACTTTACGTTTAAAAGTACTTGACATAGTTTCATAAAAACGTAATGTTTCTTCTAAGACTTGAGTAAATGCTGACAATGTGAACATTGTATGAAAGGGGAAAAACGGTCTTTCCGAGGATGTTAAAAAGGATAGGGTGTTCCGTTTCAAATAAACTCATAATTTTGGTTCAAAAGTTATTTTTTTCCGGAACTTTCCAGTAAAAAAAATACATGTGGCAACAATGTCAACAAAAACTTTAAATCGATATCTTTTTCCATTCTCGAGTTATAAGTTTTTAAAATGTATCAATTTATATGTAGATAGACACCTTGTATTTTTTATGTTAAGTAGTAGAGTGAACGTGGACACAAAATAAATTAAATTGTACCTGCAACATTGCCCATGTAGGTGTTAATGGCAGAGGCGTGAGAGGTGAACTTGATGTTAAGGTTAATCCGGTGGGACTAGATATCAATCCAGAATCGCTTGAAGGAGATTCTAACTGGGATATTTTCGTACCCCAAACTAGTTCCTAAAAATAATATTTTTCTACAATCAACATATTTATATACAATGAACAGTGACAAAATTTTGAGTCACTTTGCTACGCTAATGCGAAAAAGTTGTCAATGTTCTAACTTAATCCCATAATTGCTATAAAATACAGTAGTTTATGATTTAAGGACGATTCAAGGACGAACAGTTTTTTCGGACGACTTTGTACGAGAAGGTACTCGTGGGAGTCCGTATATCTTTCATATCTACATTATTTTTGATGTTAGAAATGCAGCTTATCAATAACGCAGCATCCAACATCAAGTGGACCAACAGTCATTATAAATTAGATATTCATTATTTTTTTGCGAAGACATATTTTATTTAAAAACGCTTAAATTTAGTTGATGTGTACCGCAGACCAAAACAAATTGCTACAATTATAAACAAATTAACACTTGAACATAACAATAAACTTCGCTAACCGTATTCAGCGTTGATCTGTTTATGAGTCTCTATTCCACACTATTAACTCTGCCCCTGTCTCTGAACTGTCCCTGTTATAGCAATATTATATAAAATGGTGAAGGTTCTCGATGTTTCCACCAAATTCCTCGACTAATATTACAATACTTGGGACTTTCGCCAAAATTTGTAATTTAGTATCATCGAACAAGGCAGAGAGGGACTTAAGGGATTAGAGCATGACAAGACTGACTAGTCGAGAATGGTTCTCATTCGATTACCCCATCATTAAGAACTCTTACGAAACTAAAACGGAATGGTTGTATCTTCAATTGGACTTACTTTTACAATTTTCAGTCGCACGGAAGTAACAAGGGCCGGTCTTCGCTGTAATCTGGACATTGGGAGAATGGCTGCAGACCAGTATTTGGACTTTGATATTTTGGAAGATTACTTCCACCATTTTTCTAATGATCCTCCAATACAACTGGTTGTATTCTATTCTTTGCCATGGCTAGTTTCTGTACGTTGGCCTCAAGTATGTGCTGCCCCAAATTAAGTAATGCTTCCCATACATCATGATAAGCGAATCGATCTCGGAAGATGTTCTTTGTTACTATATAGAAAAGTTAATGTGATCCATCTCGAAGTACATTTCCCATTTCATCGCAATTCCAGCACCTAATAGTCTTCATCTGCTTGTCAATACTACTTTTTATCATGTTAAACAGTTGGTCCAATTTATGTCCCTGTTATTTTATTTTTACAGTCCCTACTTCACTGTATCAACCAATGTTTTGTGACGGGCTAAACGAAGTGTTTTTTTGCATTTCATGGGGACGGAGTCCATCAAATGTTCAGACATTCCATCATATATTCTGGAGCTGATGGGAAAGCAAATCTTATCATCTTGGCAATATCTAATTCGAATTCTTGGAGGCTCTCGTTTTTGTTGGCGATTCTTTAACTATAATAGCTACAATTGCTCCAAGTGTTCGTGATCAAATCGCATGTTTAATCTCGTTTTAATTTGTTCAAGTTGTTCTATAAACTGTCCCTGCCATAGCAAAACTGCCCAATTATATAAAATGGTGAAGGTTCTCAATGTTTCCACCAAATTCCTCGACTAATATTACAATAAATGGCACCACCTTCGCCAAAAAATGCAATTTAATATCATCGCACATTCTATTGAGTTCTACTAGTATATTCAATACTGATAATCGACCGTGGCCAGAGTCGTCCCATTGCCATATGTCTTCAAATATTTTTGGTATTTGGACAAGTGGGGCCTTAAAGGCCCAAACAAGGCAGAGAGGGACTTAAGGGGTTATAGCATGACCGGACTAGCCGAAAATGGCTGTTATTACATAATTGTATCTGTAACTTATACGCCTATAGCAAATTGCACGTGCCACTGGCCTAATTTAGGAGAGGTTCTAACCTGAAAGGCGTGGCTTAGGTGATGCGCAAAAAAGATCGGCGCCAACCCTTCCGGTCAACAGAGTATCCGAGCTGTTTGTTAGATTTAAGCTGTATTAGAAGTATTTTTTCGGGCAAGTAAGGCTTACCTGACATTTTTCGGCAGACATCAAAATATGTAGCAAGCCGGGCGGTGGCGGCATGGCAGGATGATGAAACATCGGAGGTAATTGTAAAGCATTTCCTGAACCAACATCGGGACTAGACACCGGCGGAAGTGGCGGTGGTAACGTTAGAGTTTTCATAGTGTGATGGTGCGGACTAAAAATTCCCGCATGGGTAATGTGAAAGTTCCCAGTGATCGTGGGACATCCCGATGAGCTGGTTATCGGCATTTTCGAATCAGCGTGGCTAGAAATATGTTGGAGCGAATGAGTCATGGAGGAAGGATGGTGCATTTGGGCATTAGAGGGATGCTGAAGTTTCGGTTTTCTAGGTCCTCTTTCGTGTTGTACTGCTGTAAAAAATTAATGAACCTACATTAATGCCTGTATTTATGATATTAATAATAATATAGAACTTAATGAGATTTTTGTTCAAAGTGTTGCTCTAAAATCAAAGTAGGTACATTACATTACAACGTTAGAAAATGTCTTAGGGACCAAAACAAGTTAACATGACAACGATGACATATGTCACTCTATAATAATCAAGTGTGCAGAAAATACCTACACAATTATTATAAGATATTCTTTAAACAAGAATAATAACCTTAAATGGTTAGTTGTTGTTTTTCAAAGTTTTTTTTTTTTTAATAATATGAAAGGTATTCAAAGTACATTAAAAATTATAGGTTTCTGAATATTAAAAATAACTACTGCATTATAAATAAAGCTTCTTTCTGAAATAACAGTAGAATGGTGTGGCATAGTTCAAGAATGAAACCTAATATTGCTCGGTTCCATCACAAAATACCTACCTATTCCGTGGTTCCACCTTGGTTCTCATTATCACCGTACATGTGCTACGATCTACACTAAAGCAGTGCCTTTCTAAATAAAGGAAATTACCATTCGGTCTAAATGGGTTTAACGTCGTCGTCTCCAAATATATACAAAATGTCTTAAAATTCTTTGTACATTACAATTTCTGTAACCAGTCTCTATTTTTGGCTTTTTAAAGAATATCGCCTTAACAGTTTAGCTGTATTATGTGTCCATCAAAATATAAGGGTGGCACAAAATTGATTGAAAACATTTGATCGAATGTATTTGATCGAAAAAACATTTTATCGAATAACAATTGATCGAAAAGAAAAATGATCGAAAAGAACAATAATCGAAAAGAAAATTGATTGAAAATAGATTTGAGAGAAGAAGCAATTGATCGAAAAACCAAATATAAGTACATAAAATTATAGAAAAATAAGAAAAATGAAAACAAAAATTTTAACTAATTTACCTAACATGTGCGATCTAGAATCATCAGTGGCTGCTTCGCAAAAACAAATATACAAAAAATAAAAAAACTTAACTAACGTACCTAACTTGTGCGAGAGCAATCAGTTAAATTAAAATAGCACAGGTTAGGTAAATTAGTTAAGTTTTTTATTTTTCTTATTTTTTATAATTTTGTTTTGCAAGGCAAACTGCGACGACTCCAGACCGCACAGGTTAAAAAAACTTAACTAAATTACCTAACCTATGTTAGAGCAATCAGTTAAATTGATCCAGGCCGCACAGGTTAGGTAAATTAGTTAAGTTTTTTATTTTTCCCTTTTTTGTATATTTTTTTGCGAAGCAAGCCTCGAGGGCTCCAGGCCGCACAGTTTAGGTAAATTAGTTAAATTTTTTATGATAAAAAAATCTTATGCGAGAGCAATCAGTTAAATTTAAATAGCACAGGTTAGGTATCTTAGTTAAGATTTTTATTTTTCTGATTTTTTTATATTTTATTTTGAGAGGTAAACCATGATGGCTCTAGAACGCACAGGTGTGGTAAGTTAGTTAAGTTTTTTATAAAAAACTTAACCAAATTACCTAACTTGTGCCAGAGCAATCAGTTAAAATTACATTGCTCTAGGTTGCACAGGTTGGGTAAATTAGATATTTTTTTATTTTTCTCATTTTCTGTAATTTTTTGCGAGACAAACCGCGATAGCTCCAGGTCGCACAGGTTATAGGTTTATATAATAAATTAAATTTTTTATATAAAAAAAAATTAAAATGTCCCATTTGAAGACAACTTGACCTTTTTGAAATACATATTTTGTGCAAATTAATAACAGTTCTTTAATGGCCGTTTAGCTCCAAAATATTAATTTTTAAGGTACCATTTCGGTAGGCGCGTCAGGAGACAGGAGACCACCGAGGCGACCCGAAGGCGACAGATGTACAAATGTTACGCTCCGTACATTTGGGAAGCCGGGAGATGGGTGGCACGACACCCGCAGATAACCATTCGAGGGAACGATCAGCGTTGCCAGACTTACTGTTTTTAAGTAGATCCACTGTTTTTGTCTCTAGCAAATGGTCAAAGAATATTTTCTCAAGTAAATTTGCAGAAGTAGAAGCAGCGTAATAAGCATCCACTACTGTAGGTTGGCTCCATAAAAAAAAAACATCAAGATAATCATTATGTTTTTTATTTAAAATGAAACAAAGAATTGATAGAGCATCATAAAAGGAACATGCATGCCAAACACAACTATTTTGAATTATCTGATTCAGACTGATCTAAAAGAAGTAGGTACCTATTATTTTTCATTGTTTTTATTTTGTTTACGTACGTTAAGTATATAATAAAAATGTTATTATTTGTTTTTATTCTTTGTTTACTTTCTGATTTGGATAGAAAAATGTTTATTATTCGTTTCTTAGATACTTTTTTTTTATTTACTAAAGTGCAAATTATAATTATTTCCCCCTATATTAAAATCTACTGTTCAGATCTACGGTTGTTTTTTTTTTCACCCATACTGATCCAGCATCTGGCAACAGTGCCTAGATCGAAAGAAATTTCCAACTCAATCACCTCCAAATACAAGCGATGTCTGAGGACAGTGACTTCGAGTGCGACACGCAGCAAACGCTTTGCCCGGAGATAGATCCAAAGTGTCGTCGAGAAGTGTCATCTTGACGTGTTTCAGACGTGAAGAGACAGTTCTCGGTCGCGTCTGTTGTCGTCTGTCGTCTGTCGCGCCTACCGAAATGGTACCTTTAAATTAACAGTATTGAAAGGATAAAAATTTGTTAAACGAGGTAGCTATCGTTTGAGATTATCGAAAAATTTGCCATTGATACCTAATTTTTATAGCCGCTGAGTTTAGTTTCTCCGATAGTAGGGACTAGACAGACGGTTGGAAGATATTGTTTGCTTTTTTTTTTTAAATTTTACCATATTTAATGTCGATTTTCGATATATTGTCCTTTCGATCTAATGAATTTTCGAGCTGTTGTCTTTTCGATAAAATGTTATTCGATAAAATATATCTTCGATCAAATGTTATTCGATCAAATGTATTTTAGATCAAATGCCATTCGATAAAATGTATTTTCGATCAAATGTTTTTCGATCAATTTTGTGCCACACAAAATATAGAATTAGATAGAGACGAAATCATAACTCGATTTTTAAATAAAAGAGACGTATGAGAAAGAAAACACAAAATCTACACCACACAATAATATTTTATTGAAAAAATGTAGGCAACCGGTTTCAGCTTAAAAGCCATCATTAGGCCTGAAATATGAACAAATTAAATGCTGGATAAAGTTATGTGGATTTAGGTAAAATTAAATTAAAGTGGAATCGTTCGTTAAAATTTGTTTAAAAATTAAATATCAGAAATAATAGATAGTCAGTTTATACGTAAGATTTACACATTTAAGTTCTTCAAACTCCTACATTTTATAAATGGTGCAGGTATTCGTATGTGTATACCTTACATATAAACCGTACTATCAATTTATTCTTATATTTAATTTTTACTTTCCTGTAACTAGTACGGAAAGTATAAAAATTATGGTTTTTTTCGCCCTCGAGTTTTTGTTAGATATTTATGTTTTTGGGTCCCCTGATTTTGTTTTATCCATTTTCGCGATGATTTATGTATATGTGTCTTTAACCACAATAACTCATAATAATACAAAATTTTTAAACTTAAGCTTTTTCCATCTTGGTTTTTGGACATGCTCGGAGCATCTGGGGTGTACTTTTAAGGGGGCGTTTTTCTACTTAACATATTTTTTAATAATTTATAATTTGTAATCAGGGAAGAAAATTATTTCTATAAGAATTGTTTATAATGCCATCATGGGCATCGTTTGGGGGGGGGCAGTTGCCCCCCTGACTTTTATGACTTTACAACGCGTAATGGCTGTATGCCACATTACTAAATTAAGTACTAAAATTTAGCCCTAAAGAAAGTTATTAATTTAGTACTAAATTTAGAACTAAAAATTTTTTTTTCCTTTTGCAACGATACCAATTTCTAGTACTAAATTAGGTATAGGCGCACGTGCATTGACGTAATATTACGTGAAATAAGCACAGAAATTAAACATTATGTGTAAATGAGACAAGTGAATTAAAAGATGTTTTTATTATGACTTTGACACTTGTTGACTTGACAACAACCAAATGCAGCAATGCTACTAAAAACCACGAAAAAACACAATAAAATTTACAAAATCAAACACAAGCGAAATTTGTCCAAGGCTATAATGTAAAGTTGTCGCTAACCAAAATCAAACTGGTGCAGAAAAGACCGTTGTGTCAACTTTTTCTGAGAAAAACTTCTGAGCAACATTTCAACGCATTTTTAATACTAAATTTAGTAGAAAATAGAAAAATTCCAATTAATTAATTTTTTTAGTACTAAATTTAATACTAAATTTGCTGTTTGCACTGTGCATTTTTTTAGTATTTAAAAAATGTATTAATTTAGTTATAAACTTAGTACTTAATTTAACATACAGCCTTAGAATATAAATTACTGATATTTCGTTAGGTAGGTACTACGTACCACAGTTTGACAACGCTGTATACAGTAAAATTACATAACTAACACAATTACACAACTGGCACTGGCTCATATTGTTTAAGGGAATAGAAGAAGTAGGTAAACATGATAGGTGTAGAAATCTAAATGCCACGAATTACGGACAGCAATCCCATAAAAATAATATTCAGGCTAATACAGTTGACGAATATTATAAGTTGAATATATTTATTCCATATCCATATCTTACACGTACATTTTACTTTTTTTAAAAGTAGGCAATGTTAAAATACTCGTATCTAT